AAAACAAAAAAACAAAATTTAAAAAAAAGTAAATAAAAGCCCAGTGGGAGGAAGAGACACAAGGCCCCGCAGGTAACTGTAGCCCTTCTGGTGGAGCTACCTACGCTCTGCTACATAACCCCAGACTTATCTCCAAACCCACATGCCAAAGTACTAGGCACTCACCGAAAAAGTGCCTTACCTTGGTGCGGCCATTGATGACGTAGTTGCCCAGCCGCCCCGCACAGTGGCGGATTACTGTGTCCACATGAGCCATGAGGGCACCAATGCTCCTGCAGCTTGGCTCGTGGCCTTCTACCCAGGCAATCTGGTCCCCACGAATGCTGCGCGGTGGTATCGCCCGCTGGCTCACTAGTTGCCCATCACGCAGACGCCCGCCCCACTTCAGGGCTTCCACCTCTGCCAGCACACGGCCACCCAGTGTTGCCCCCAAGAAGTTGTCCTTGACGCAGATACCATAGTACCGCATGCAAGGCACAATGTAGTCCAGGGCCAGGCGCTCGGGTGCAGAGGGTTGTGCTTCCTCCCTCAGCCTAGCACTTGCCTCGCCACTGCTACTGGTAGTGTTGCTGCTGCTGCTGCCGCCACCGCTGTCACAGCCCACACCACTTTCCCCCTTGGCTTCCTGGTTCTCTTGCCTGGCCCATGGTCGCTTGCTGGGTAGAGGGGCATCCCCACCATCCTTGGCCCACTTCCGTTTGGGGGCCTCAGGCCGGGCACCCTGGGCCGCCAGTCGCTGGCACTCCTTGGTGACCAGCGCAGCAGCACCTTCACTCTGCAGTGGCCACAGCTCACCACCATCCTGCCCACCAAAGCCCTCCCGAAGGGGACTGGCAGTGGTAGTGGTAGCAGTGGCTGTGGTTCTGGGGGTCCCATTGCCAGCCGAGGCCTCACCAGATGATCCTGGACGGTGGTAGGAGGGTAGCAGGGGGCAGGGCAGGTAACTCTCCACCCCCATCCTGGCGCGGCTAGGCTCCAAGGCCTCTGACACAGACCCTGGCAATTGAGGGAGAGCCTGATTCAGGGCCTGCGGCTGGCACGGGCTGTCCATGGCAGCAGTGTCTTCATCCCCCGGGCATGGAGGGTACGGCCCGGGCCCATGGTGCCACCCTCCTCCGCCTTCTCCTCCTCCACTTGATGCAGCCGGGGGCCGCTGGGCCTGGTGTGGGGCAGGGTGAGGCAGGGCAGGCAGCAGGGGCTCCTCTAGTGCCCCGGGGGTGCTCACTGGTCCCCAAGTCCACAGTTGTCCCTAGGAGCTTGAGAAGGGACTGGTGGGGGTGGCTGGAAAAGAGAAAAAGAAGGACTTAAGAGGAGTTAGAGACAAGCAGGTAGGAAGGGCTGGGAATGGTACCAGCAGTAAGTAGATGACAGACACATTCACAGCGAACACATACACACACTGAGGCAAGATGGGGCGCAGAACTTGGGAATTAGAGAGGGCAGGACTGTCAGAGTAATATGGGGAAAGTGCAGAGGGAAAAGGCTGCATGGGAGGCCCAATAAGAGGACAGCAATAAATGAATAATCTAAGAGATCTGAGGAAGAAAAGCAACAGCGAGAAGTGGGAAACGGGTACCTGCCTGAGGGGTCCATAGAGACTCAGAGAATGACACAGAAAACGGGAGCGAGGAATCTAGGATAAAGTCGGGGTTGTGGGGAGCCGGCGGGCACTGCCACCGCGCAACGTTTGCGAGAACCGGATCGTCTGAGTGGAAGGCCACGAGCCAGGGCAGGCGGGGAACACCGGGTGTCCAGGGACAAAGAGAACAGGGAGGAAAACAAGACTGCAGGGGAGCGGGAGGGCCGGTGGGGTCGACCTGTGCCCTACGGGAGGAAGCCTACTGGGGCCCGACACACACCCAGACGGAAGGGAGGTCCTGCCGGACAGACGGACTGACGGAAGGGAGACCGGGAGGAGGGTCGGACCCGACGGCCTCCCTCCCAACCCCCTCCGCAGTGGCCCAGGGGCCGCCGGACGCCGCGGGCGACTGAGGCGGGGCCGCACCGGCCCGGCCCCTCCCCTCGGTGGCGGCCGCGCGCTCCCGCCGCCCTCAATGGCCCGCCCCGCCGGGCACGCGTTCCCTCCCCACCCCCACCCGCCCAGCGCGGGGTCGCCGCCGCCCGCGCCCCGCCTCCCGCTTCCCGCCCGGCCGTCCGCGCCCGGCCGCCCGACCTCTGGGCTCCTTCTCCTCCCCGGGTCCTTCCCTTCGCGCGACCTCCTCACCGAGCTTTTTCCTCCGGCCTCGGCGCCGCCGTTTGTGCCAGCCGCCCTGCGCCTCACAGCGCGCCATACCCCGCCCCCCACCGCCCGCGACGCCCCGCCCCCGCCTCGCCCGGTGGGCACGTGACCGCGGCCCGGCCGAGGAGGCTGCGCATGCGCGCGCAGGACGTTGCCGAGCGCCCTAGAACACCCTACGGGAGAAAAGTGAGCCGGTCCGGGGCGCGAGGCTCATTTGCATTGTGTGCCCCGCCCCTTCCACGCGAAAGTAGGAACGCAGATTCAGAAAAAGGCGTTCTGTGAGTTTTTAAGACTGGTCCAGGGAAGGGGTGGGTGGTGCAAATGAGGCATTTCACATAGAAAAGTCCACCCCGAGGAGCAGAAAGTGCCAGGGACCGGCTAGTGGCTGGGCTGTTGGTATTTGCTATGCAAATGTATCATTTGCATAGGCAGCTCCACCACATATTCCAAGAGGATATTGAGAAATGACTGCGTAGTTAGTTGGAAAGTGTATGTAAATTCCTACGTCAGTAATTTACATAAGCACTTAAAAAAATAACGGTGAGTACAGGATGTCCCTAGAGAAGCGAAGTCAGGTAGAACAAATGAGCAAATATGTACTATTTGCTGACCCTCTCCGTACTGCTTCCTCGGGGCAACATCGGAGCCAGATTAAAGCTACCTGGAACAGCCTCGTAGAGAAGACATTTGCAAAACAGGACTCCTCTGTAGTCCAGGAAGATTTTTGTTGTTGTTTATGCAGTACTGGGAACTAATCCAGAGCTTTGCACATAAAATGCAACCGCTCCACCACTAGCTACACAAAACAGTGAAGCCACCGTTCCTGGGAAGGCTATGTGGATAGGGTTACTTGAATGCCCCACCCCTTCCACCAACTCTTGGGCCTACCAAGCGGGCAATCAATGCCTTGCTGACATTTTGGGAGAGCAGCTGAGCTATCCTGAGGGGGGCTGCACCTGTCTCCAAATGCCCGTATAAAGATTTCTGGGCACAGAATCTGGAAACAACCTAGATGCCCCTCAATGGAAGAATGGATTAAGAAAGTGTGGAATATATACGCAAGTACTACTCAGCGGTAAAAAACAATGACATCTTGAATTTTGCATGCAAATGGATGGAAATAGAAAACACTATCCTGAGTGAGAAAACCCAGACCCAAAAAGATGAATATGGTATGTACTCACTCATTAGTGGACTCTAGCCATAAACCAAGGGCATTAAGCCTATAAATTCACAAGGCTAGAGAAGCCAAATAACAAGGTGAACCCAAAGAAAAACATATATAGAACATCCTGGAAATTGGAAGCAAACAAGATTGCCGGGCAAAAGTTGGGAGCATGGGGGTGGGGGTAGGGATGGCGGTGAGGTTGGGGGAAGGGAAGGGAGAAGGGAAAGACTGGCAAGAGCTTGGGGGAGTAAGAAGGTGGAGATGGAGGAAGGGTGGATATAGGAGCAGGGAAGAAGATATCTACATTAAGGGAGCCATTTTAGGGTTGGCAAGAGACTTGGCTCTAGGGGAGATCCCAAGTGTCCACAGGGATGTCCCCAGCTAGGTCCTTGGGCAGCAGAGGAGAGGGTGCCTGAACTGGCCTTGCCCCACTATCACACTGATGTTTATCTGGAATATCACCATAGAATCTTTGTCCGGCAAGGGAGGAGATAGAGACAGAGACCCTCATCAGAGCAATGGACTAAGCTCCCAAGGTCCAGTTGAAGGGCAGAAGGAGGGGTTGGTCCACCAACTGAGACAGCGTGCCTGTTCTAATGGGAGCTCACCAAATCTAGCTGGACCAGGACTGAATGAGCATGTGATCAAACTGGACTCTCTGTGGCTGACAATGGGGGCTGACTGAGAAGCCTTTGATAAAGGCACTGGGACTTGTTTTTACAGCATGTTCTGGCTTTTTGGGACCCTAGTCTATATGGATGCACAGCTTCCTAAGCCTGGATGTAGAGGGGAGGGCCTTGGACTTCCCACAGGGCAGGATTCCCTGCCCTCTCTCAAGTAGGGAAGAGTGAGGAGGATGAGTGGGGGAGTGGGAGGGGACTGGGAGGAGGGAAGTATAAATTTTTGAATGGAAAAATAAAAAAAAAATTTAAAAGATTTCAGGGCACAAGGAGATACACATTAGCACCAAGTATGACCAGGAGTCCAGGTTGCACAAAAAAAACCACAGTGGCACACAGAGGAGGTTTATGTTCACACACACACACACACACACACACACACAGAGGAAGAAACAGGTCTATGCTGAAGCACACACAAATCTCAGGAGCACATGTTCTCAGGAACAGATACAGGAGTTGAACAAGGCCCAGAACTGAGGCTCCCTTATAGTCCCCAACGCCTTGGTCTTGTTGCACACAGTGAAGCCTCACAACACAGTCACCAGGACAGAGACTACTCCTGATCACACATCCCTACTGACACTGCCCCATCCACGAATCCTGGAAAGACTCACACACAGGGATGTCACTGCTGCACACACCAGCTTCCATCGATCATGTGCTGCCGTGAAGTATGTACACAAGCTAGGCATGGACACTTAAAATTCCAGCGTAGTCTGGGCTATAAAAAGGCCCTATGTCCAAAAAAATAAGGGGGGTGGGAGGTTTAGGAAAAACCAAAAACGGACAGACATAACTCTGGCCTCAATAATTGTGTACCCCAATACATTCACAACTCAAGTCCCACCAGAAACAGATTACTTCCATCAAGGACCGCGTAGGTCTCCGCATCTCAGAATGACAGAGGCCAAAACACAGGTGTAAACAATGCTTTATGGAGGGCTGGAACAGGATGGAGCAGGCCTCCAGGTAATAAATAACACAGACTTGCAACAGCAGGGCCAGGCAGGAAGGTGGGGCCGAATGGCCCTGGTCTCAAGCTCTGGGAGTTCTTCAGGATATGGTTAGGGGTTCAGGGGGAATAGAGTTAGCCAAGTCAGAGGAAACAGCAGCAGGTGTGGGTTCCCCCTTCCCCTGTGGCTCAGTCTTGCCCCAAAGCCAGGCCCCACCAGGCCCGGGAAGGGGGGGATGGGAGATGGGGTGGCTTTTCTGGGGCCAGGGCAGATTGGGGCCTATCCTCTTAGGGCCTTGGTTTGGGGCCCCAGCCTTCGGGTAGGGCTGGTCCAGGAGAACAGGTGAGCTGAAAGAGAAGGGTTTTATGACCTGGAGGGGTCCTGAGTCTGTCTAGCTAGAATTGCTTGTCTCATTACTAGGTATCTTTGTGACCTGTCTGCCTGTACCCCTTTGTCTCTCAGTCTGTGCACTGACTTTGTGGCCTCTCTGCAGGTTATGCAGGAGTCTTGTTCTCTGAGCAGCTCCCTATTTGTCCACCTCACAAGCTGTGTGCATCTGTAAAGGGGCATTTCAGTAACTACCTACCACCACCCTGGCCAGGTGGTACTTCACACATGTAATCCCAGTACTGAGAGGAGGATGGTGAGTTTGAGGCCAACCTGAGCTACATAGAGAGATTCTGTCTCAAAAACACAAAACATGATGGGCAGTGGTGGTACATGCCTTCCAGCACTAGGGAGGCAGAGGCAGGCAGATCTGTGAGTTTGAGGCCAGCCTGGTCTACAGCATGAGTCCCATGACAGTAAGGGCTACCCAGAGAAATCCTGTCTCCAAAACACAAAACAAACAAACAAAAAAAAAAAAAACAGAAACAAAAGAACAAAAATCCCCAACACAAATCATAAACTCAATATATGTCCCCACCTTTGTAAATGTCTGTGTCCCTTTTTATCCCTAATGGTCCAGACTAAGCCTCATTCCAATGCTTTTCAAACTGGAGAGATAGGATAGATGTGTGGTCATGACTTTGACTGCTTACAGCACTATCTAAGACGTCTCTAGAAATTATCTTATGTAAATCCCGGCATCAGAATGTTGTAAACCTTCCTACCTTATTCTAATGTGCGCTATTTCCAGTTTGTCTAAATGAAGTAAAATCAGAGGGTGTGGTGGTTCACACCTATAATCCCAGCACTCAGAAAGTAAATTAGAGGCCTCAAATTTTAAGCCTGTGCTATGAAGTCTCAAAAAAAAAAAAAAAAAAGAAGAAGAAGATATATAGCTCAGCTGGTATTGCATGCCTAGCCTGCATGTGGCTCTGGGTTCCATCCTCAGCACCCCATAAATGCAATGGGAAACTATAATTCCAGCACTTAGGAGGTAAAAGTCAAAGGGTCAGAAGTTCGAGTTTACCCTTGACTACTATTACATAGCTACATAGTTAAGTCTGAGGCCAGCCTGGGCTATATCTTTGAGTAAAAAAAGAAGAGGAAGAGGAAAGGGTGTATGGGGACGATATATTTTTCTTATTACATTTTTAGAATAAAAGGAAATAGCAGGCCAGAGATGGTTGTACAACTTTGATCTCAGCACTAGGGAGGCAGAAGCGAGTGGAGTTCAAAGCCAGCCTGGTCTACAGAGTGAGTTCAAGGAAAGCCAGGGCAATGTAGAGAGACCCTGCCCCCAAAATAATAGAAAGATTTATGGGTAACCAGGCATGATGGTATAAACTTAGAATCTTAGCACTTAAAAGGCTAAGGCAACCAAAAACAAAAACCAAAAACAAGGTAGCCAAGCAGTGGTGGCACACACCTTTGATCCCAGCATTTAAGAGGTATAGGCAGGCAGATGTTTGTGAGTTCAAGGCCAGCCTGGTCTACAAGAGCTGGTTTCAGGACAGGCTCCAAAGCTACAGAGAAACCCTGTCTCAAAAAACAAACAAAAAAAAAAAAAAGGAAAAAGGCTAAAGCAAGAGGATTGATACAAGTTTGAGGCTATACTAGGGTACACAGGAAGTTCCAGATTAGCCTGAGATGCATAGCAAGACCCCTCCCCACAAAAAACCACATCAAAGGGGGTCCAAAAACAAGTACAAAAAAATTGAGTTTCTCTATAGATATGATTATGTTAGCTAAATATATGACACACTGGTTACATGTGACCCATTGAGGGCAAGCTGGGGAAGACTTGGATAATTTCTGGGATACCTGTCTATCTCCACACAGCTAGATGTTCCTTTTGCTTTGTTCTGTGCTGCTGCGGACTGCACCCAAGAAGGCCACCTACATGTGAGGTGAGCTCCCTACTACTGAGCTACACATTCAGCACACATACCCTCCCAGAGCCTTTAAGATGGGCACGAAAGAGATCAGTGAACAGCCTTGTGGATCAAGCTCTTAGCAAATGCTAGGCTCTGCTCTCCTCCACATCCATGAGGGACTAGGACTGACCTCATTCTGCAGACTCAGGGTTAAGAGACAGGCTCAGACCAGCAGTGCAGAGACAGGGAAGGAAGAACTCTGTCTAAAGGGCTCACCCTGGACTCTCTTTCAAATCCCACAGGCATTCCAGCAAGAACCATGCTGGTCTGGGCTGGAGAGGTGGCTCAGTGGTTAAGAGCAGTGGCTGCTCTTCCAGAGGACCCAGGTTCAATTCCCAGCACCCACATGGCAGCTCACAGCTGTCTGCAACTCAGTTCCAGGGGATCTGACACCCTCACACAGACATACATGCAAGTAAAACACCAGTGCACATAAAAGAAAACCATACTGGCTCTACCTGCAAAACAGATCTAAGCCTAAGGATTTTTTTTCCCCACAGCCATCCCAGACTTGCCAGTGGCGGGGAGTAGAGGGAGCTGGGCTTTCTGAAGTACAGAGAGAGACTTACTAAGGACACCCATAGTCACAGGTAAGGAAGGGTCCTGCAGGTCTGTCAAGGAGTTTGGACCATGCATGGAAAAATGAACAAGGCTTCTTAGAGGAGGAGGTTATCAGGTCAAAGGAGAAGAAAACACGGCCTGGAAAAAAAGACCCAAAGAAAGAACTTTTGTGTGACCGGGACAGGTCAAAGGAGCAGGACAATGTGTAAGAGCCTTCAGGGGCAGGGTGACAGGGCCTCCCAGAGTCCCATGGACCCTAGGAACCATGGATGGTTCTCAAGAAGGGACATGTTTTCCAGGCTGGCCTCCAACTTACTCCAACTGACTCCCTTGATCACCACCAGCTAACACAGTGCTCAGTGTGGAAGCTGCTGCTTCCTGCATGCACGCTAGGCAAGCACTATCGCTTCAGCTGATCCTGGTCCTCAGCCCCAGCAGCTCCTTCATGGGCATCCAGCTAGAGGGTTCCTGGGATGCACGAGTCTGACCCTCTCCTTCCTCCGCCCAGTAGCCCCCTCTGGCAACGGTAGCATCTAGGTACAGCTGGGAGACCTTCTCAGAGCCTTAGATACTTACTAGTCAGTTCCCCAACCCCATGCTGTCTGTACCCCTAGTACACACAGGTACTCCACTCCAGCCACAGTGGCCTCCTTGGCCACGCCACATATGATCCTATGCCAGGGCCTCTGCGCACACTTTTTTCACCTGTCCTCTCTGACTCCCCTGCTCTGGGTTTTTGCTTAAATGTCACCTTCTTGGGTGTCCTGTTTAAAAGGGAATTCTGCATCCTCCCCACCTTATCAGACTGTTTCTCTCCATGCTCTTTGCCCCCTAACTACTATATAATGTATGTAAATATTTCATCTACGGTGTGTCTTCTCCCAAGGCAATGTAGGTACAATGCAAACAAGAATTTGTTTGGTTGGTTTTACCCAGTGCTGTCTCCCCAGAGGCCTCACCAGGACTGAGCACACAGCAGAGGCTCATTACACCAGTGAGAACCATGAAAAAGGGTCAAGTGCAGGCCGAGGCGGGCAGAGGTCTGGGGTGCAGAGGGCCCATGGGTTCCCGGGGACTGGGAAGGTGGCTCCTTTGGTTCATGGGCTTTTGTGTCTTTGTCACCGGTTTTCTTGTCACGTGTTCCAAGTCTTGGTGGCTGTTCTGTGCCCCACCCCACCCAACACAGAAAGCCCTCTTGCCTCCTGAACCCCCAGCATCCCACCTGGCTGACTCTGCAGGTCTCAGCAGCCACAAGGCTGAGGAGCCACGGCCTGAGCGCTGCGAGGCTGCCGCAGCTGGCGAAGAGATACGTCACCATACTGAATGCCTGAGCCCATCCTCTCGGGGTCTAGTTCACCTGTGGGAGCGGAGAGGCCAGAAGAGTTCCTCAGAGCCCGTGGAGACTACCTTTAACCAGTTCCCCCACCTCCATCTCTCACAGGAAGCAGGTGGGCCTCACCTGAGTCGATCTTGTTGAGGATGGTGCGCGCGCACTTCAGGAACGCTTCTTCCACGTTCTCACCCGTGAGAGCGCTGGTCTCCAGGAACATCAGCTCTGGAGGGGCAGGGTCTCTATCAGTTCCCATCCTCCAACTCAAAAGCTCTGTCCATGCTTGCCCTTACCTCGGCCACTGTACACAGGTTCCCTTGCCGGGAATGCAGTCTCCCTACATATACGAGTACTCACCCACCTCTTCCTTCTCAACTCAGCCCCCGTGGCCCCCAGAAACCCTCCTTGCTGACCCTGCCTAAGTCAGGAGACCCCTCTGGACTCCCAAGAGCCTCCTGTCCTAGCAGTGACTTCTCTCTGATATTACTGTCAGCAAATGAGTCTGCCTCCCGCCTCTACCACGGCACTACGAGCTTCATGAGTTCATCGGTGTCCCCAGACTCATTGAAGACAGCCCTAAGCCCACCTCAGCTACCCAGAGGTCACATGATAGGACCTCACACTGAAGTTATATGCAAGATTTAAACCCACATCTGCCTGGCAGCAAAACCTCTTCTAAACCTGGGGGTCTGAAAACCAGGAGGCCATGTATTGGGCATGCTTGTGTGCCCTCCACAGTCCTAGTGGAGACAGAGACAACACAGATGGTCCGGAGGACTGGGTCAGCCTGGGCAACAGTGAGTCTGAGGCTAGCCTTTAGTCACAAAGGATTATCTCGATGGCCAGCTGAGTTTGCAGTAGCCACCTTAAACTTGTGCTGCCTCCACATGGTGAAGGAGGAGGCGCTAAGAGTGTGATGGTAGTTCCCGTGGCCAGCATACTGCTCATCCTCTTTCTAGCTGGACCTGAAGACCACAGCAGTCACATGACTCCTAAAGCAGGCCTGCTGAAGCCTCCATGCTGAAGGTACAACCATCCACCGAAAGCTAAGAGGCTCATGGGCCACAGTGCACGGACCCATCCCTCCACCCATCACCTGGTCCACAGCACAGCCCTCACCGTTCTCCTGGGCAAAGCGGGAGGCCTCGAGGAAAGTAACCTCACGCTCAGGATCCAGATCCTTCTTGTTGCCACAGAGGATGACCACGATGTTGGGGCTGGCCAGCGTCCGGGCATCAGTCAGCCATGCAGCTAGTGAGTTGTATGTCTCTCGGCTGAGAAGAGCAGACAGAAGAGGGAGGCAGCACAGGAGTGGGGCCATCCATGCCCAGCCTCTCCCGTGCCACCCAGACCCTGCACCCACCTGGTGATGTCGTACACCAGCAGGGCTCCAGCTGCCCCTCGGTAATAACTTCGTGTCACCGACCTGTGGGACCAGGGGGACCCAGTCACCCCAAGGCTGCGATCTGCCCAGGGATTGCCCCCCTCTGTGGAGAGAGGCTAGTGGTTTGGCGCCCCCCCCCTTTACTATTGGCCCATCCCCTAAAACCTGACCTTGGTCTCCTTGAGATACAATTTATCTCCCTCATGGTCTATCTCAATTATTGTTATTATTTGGGTTTGTTTTTTTGAGACAGTCTCATTCTCTAGTCCAAGCTGTCCTGAAACTGACTAAGCAGCCCCCCTGACTTCAATATTCAAGGAACTCCCCTGCCTCAGCCACCACACCCAGGGGTGCTTGGGACTGGCCTGGTACATGGTCTACACAGAGCTACAGCTCAACCCTTTAGTTTAACTCAACATCATGGCAACTTACCCAGGCTGCAACTTACTCTGGAACTTTCTTACTTAATTATTTCTTTTTTTTTTAATTTTTTTTTTTTTTAGTATTTATTTATTATTCATACAGTATTCTGTCTGTGTGTATGCCTGCAGGCCAGCAGAGGGCACCAGACCTCATTACGGATGGTTGTGAGCCACCATGTGGTTGCTGGGAATTGAACTCAGGACCTTTGGAAGAGCAGTCAGTGCTCTTAACCTCTGAGCCATCTCTCCAGCCCCTTAATTATTTCTTTTATGTGGGTGGGGGTGGGCTTACGTGTACCACAGCGCATGTGTGGGGGGCAGAGAACTCTTGTAGGAACTGGTTCTCTCCTGAGCTCAAGCTCAGGTCCTCAGGTGGGCAGCAAACACTCTTACCCACTGAGCCATGTCATGAACTGCAATCCTTCTGTCTAAACCTCTCAAAGAACTGAAATTACGGGCATCTACCACCACCCCCAGCATAATTTCCCGTAATTTCCTCAATTTTCTTTCTTGTCTGCCAGTCTTTCTTACTCCGTCTCTTCCATGTTCACTTTTGCCTTCCCTCATTCATTCCTTCAGTGAGTCAGTCAGCATTTTCTCAGTATCGCCCATCTGCCTGTCCTGCCCAGGTACGATTCACCTTCTACTCTCCCCTCCCTGATGGCTGATGCAGGCCCCCTTTCCTGTGTGGCATATTCCCTTTGTCACCAGTTTGGATCCCTCTGGAACGCAGGTGATTACTGCAAACACAGGCTATGTCACATGCCTGCCTCTCTCTCTGCCTCTGGGTTCTACATACCTCACATAATCAATCTATACATGAGTTAACTAGCAGCCGCTATATGCTGAGGCCAGATTCTCCACAAGCTGAATATCCAGCCCTGCCGTGTGTGTGTGTGTGTGTGTGTGTGTGTGTGTGTGTGTGTGTGAGAGAGAGAGAGAGAGAGAGAGAGAGAGACTCCCTCCCTCTGCTCTTTCTGTTTCGCACTCTCAGGGTTTCTGTTTCTGCAGACCTACTAGGTGCCCCGGCCTTCCCATTTTCTGCAGGCCTACTAGGTGCCCTGGCCTTCCCATTTTCCACACCATGCAATACACTCACCTATCCTTCTCACCCACAGCTGTCCAACCCTTCCCGAACCTCTCTGCTTCTGACCTGTTCCTTCTGTGCCCATTCCTGCCTTGATTACTCCTTCATCTTCGACTCCCTATCTGTGTCTCCTTCCCTCCAAGGTTGTAGCTCCTTGAGGTTTCAGTGTCTGTCTTAAGCTCCCTCTTCAAACACCACTCCTTGGGGCTGGCGAGATGGCTCAGCAGTTGGTTGATAAGGCTTACTGCTCTTGCAGAGGACATAGGTTCCATGCGCAGCACCCAGAGGTAGTTTACAACTACCTATAGTTCCAGCCCTAGGGTATCTGATACACTCTTCTGACCTCTGGGGGCTCCTGCACGTATATAGTATATATGCATATACTTAGGCATATACACATAGACAATTAACTAATTAAAAAAATAAAACTACTTCTTATTCATATCCTTAAGCCTTTTATTTATTTTTTCTCCTTTCTGCTCCTGAGGATGGCACCAAAGGTCTTGTACAAGCTAGGCAAGAGCTCTGGAGAACTCTAGACAGGGGCTCCACCACTGAGCCACACCCCATCCCCTCACTGGGAGATTCCAGGCAGGGGCTCTACTACTGAGCCATACCTCAGCCCCTCACTGGGGGATTCCAGGCATGGGCTCTAGCTCTGAGCCACACCCCCCAGTCCCTCACTGGGGGATTCCAGGCAGGGGCTCTAGCTCTGGCACTACCACATGCCAAGCTTCCCTTCTCTCTTTCCCTCTTTTCTGAAATGGGAATCAAACCCAGGGCCTTACACTACTTGGTCTATGGCTCTCCCTCTCAGCTACAATTCCAACCCTTCTTCATTGTCATGTTAGCCCAGGCTGGCCTCCAACAGTCCTGCTCCAGCCTCCTGTGTTTGCCACTGCAGACCTGAACCATCACATCTAGCCTTTTCTCTCCAGGACTTCTCTGCTCAGACATATCCCCTGTCTCTCTGCATCTAGCTGCCCTGCCCTCTCAGCACCTCCTTGTTCTTATTTCATCCCTGAAAGACACTTCACATCTTGCCCTTCCCTCCTCCCTCCTCAGGATCCCAGGCCACCTACCGAAAGCGCTCCTGGCCGGCAGTGTCCCAAATCTGGAGCTTCACAGTCTTCCCCCCAACATTGACCACCCTGGATCCAAACTCCACGCCAATGGTGTGGTTGGAGTCCTGTTTGACTGGGAGTGGGAGGGAAAGAGGAGGCAGTGCAGGGGCTCCTGGGATTCCCCCATCCTGCAGGCCTCCTCCTCAGTTTCTGCAACCCAATTCTCACTGCTGGGTTGGCAGAGAACTTAGCAGAGATCGTCCACCAAGGCCAGAGGCAAAGCTACAGCACCAGCTTTACCCAGTGGTCCCTGCTACCTACCCCACCTACTGCCCACTGACCCACACCATGGCCACATCCACGCTTCCAGGGTCCTGCCAGAAACTCACACTTATTCTCAATGAACTGATGGAGGAGACATGATTTGCCAGTTCCAGCACTGCCAATCACCAGGAATTTGAAGAGGAAGTCTAAGCAGATGGTGCCAAGGATCAAGGGAGAGAAAGACACAGGAAATAAAAGGAAAAATAGAAAGAAAAAAAAACATCTACAGTGCTGTAGACAGAACGCAGGGCATCCTGCATACTAGGCAAGTGTTTTCTTCCGAACTGACCTACAACCCAGCCCAAGATGACACTTTTATTCATTATTACTATTGTTGTTATTATTACTGATCATTGAAACAAAGTTTCACTATGTATTCCAGACGGACCTAGCTGTCCTCAACTTCAAGCAATCCTCCTGCCTCAGTCTGTAAAGGAATGCTGGGATTATAAATCTATGCGGCCATACCCTGTATTTCTTTCCTTTACCTTCTAGTCAGGGACTCACTGTGTAGCACTATATGGCCTTGAATTCGAGTCGGCCTTCCTCAGCCTCCCCACTCCTGGGATTACAGAATGTGCCAGCACACTCCACTTTTCTTTCTTTTAGAATATTACTCTGTAGTTCAGGCAGACCTCTAACTTGAAGATCCTCCCGCCTCAGTCTCCCAGATGTGAGGATTATGGCACACAAGATTATCCTTACATAGTGCTTACCATATATGTGTGTATATATGTAGATATATACATATATATATATGCACTCAAGACAGTCCTAAAGATTATTATGTATGTTGACAGCTCATTTAATCCCAAATAGAGATCTAAAGAGGGAAATATGCTAAGGATCCCTACTTTTCAGACTAGGAGAATGAGGCCAGAATGGTTAATCAACTTGCCCAAGGCCACACAGCTAGATATTCAAACCCAGATTAAAGGTCTTCACAATGCAAGACCTTAGCTGATGCGTTTCAAAAACTATTTGAACAATGATTAAATCTGGCCTCCCTTCCTCTTCACTTCACTTCCTACTACCCTCTCATTCACTGTCAAGGCCGCTGACATTTTGGCCTATTTCCTAAACTGGTTAGCTCCTCAGGGTCTTCGCACTAGATTCTTTACTGCCCTCGGACCTCCCTCCACCTACATGATACTGTCCATCCATATTGATTTCCTAACCCTGAACCTCTTCTCCTCAATCCTCTGCCCAGAACAGTTGGTCATTATGCTTAAACTTAAGCCGCATCCGGTGACACTAAGTTTTAAATCTAACTCCAGGACACCACTCCAGACCTCTCAAACCAGATCAGCCCCACAGGGTGTGCAGGGTTCACAGCATTTGTGCGAGGTTCTCTATCTACTCCATGAAGCCCGACCCTTGCCATTCACCGTCAGCCCCGCCCTATCCACTCATGCTCCGCCCAGGAAGGCTTGCTTCCCTCCTTGGACCTAACCCCCTACCCTAAATTACCATCACTAGCTCCCTCAAATCCCGCCCAGAATCTTTTTTAACTCACACAGCAGTCTCCCAAGCTCCACCCAAATCGATTAAGCTCAGCCCCAGACCCACTTAGCCCGGCCCTACATCGCCGCAGACCCCGCCCCCTGAACAGAAAGTCCCGCCCCACTTCCACATCCGCATCTTCTACGGGCCCAGCCCCCCCGCTTCGACCCGCCAGCCTCACCGTAGGTCTCGGCCATGGCTCGGTGGCGACCGCTGAGGGCCGCAATATGGCGCCGCGGCCGCGCCTGCTCCTCGGCTGGCAGCCGCTCCACTCGGGCTGCAGCCTCAGCTCCTTTCCACTCCCGGACCCGGCGCCGCCACTTCCGCCTTCACCCCCCCACTCCCGCGCGAACCTCCAGAGCTGCGGATACCAGGCCACGCTTGCCCAACGCCGGGATTGGCGGACTCGGAAGGCAGCGGGCGGGACGGATGGCGCAGATTGGTGTCATGTTAGGGGCCGAGTCGAAAGGGGCGTAACCCAGATGAGCGATTGGCGGAGTAAGTGGGAGGGGGCGGAGGCAGAGATGCTGCGCCTCGCGGACGAACGGATTTGGTCAGGATTCTGGGTGCAGAAACGAGACTCCGGATTGGTTAGACGTGAGTCTCGGGGTGGGGACACGAATGCCAAGAAGTGGCAAGGGCAGGATGGACTGAGTTGAAAGAGGGGATCTCAAGCCGCTGGGTGCGATTTCTAACCCCACAGGCAGGAAGGAGGAAAGCTGAGAGGGCACGCACACGTTGCTCCCCATTTGCAAGAAAACCTCTGCTGGTCGGGCATGTTGGCGCACGCCTTCAACCCCACCACTAGGGAGGCAGAGGCAGGTGCCCATCTATGACTTCCAGGCCATCCTGGTCTACATAGTGAGCTCCATGTCAGGGTTACACAATGAGACCCTGTCTCAAACAAACAAGTCTGTTGTGCGATCTATCCAACTGGCTCATTACCAATAGTTCAACTCCTTCCCCAGGGAGGAAAGCATACATATATTGTACTGTTTAGTTTATTCCTTTGCTCAGGGCCACCACAGACCTTAACCAGCTTGGAGCGAAGGGCTTACAACAGTAAAACTCTGCCTAGCAACCACTGACGTAACCACATTCAGGTCATTGGTTGGCTAGATCGGAAACCCAAGAAACATTTTCTTTGCACATGTCCACCCAACCTCAAAAACCAAAGAGACAAAACAGTTTGCAGTTGGCTGTTCTATTTGTATAAAGCTGGGAAGGTAAACCGCAGGGACAACGGTAGGCTGAGCTCACTGGCAGTAGAAATCCCATTTCTGAAAAAGAGAACAGGGAAAAAACAGTAGATAGGAAACCGGTGCAAGGACCAGGTTTGACCTCACAGAAATGAACAAATTATCTTCCAGCCCTGTAACCTCTGCATTTCCCAATTAGAAATCACTCGGCATTGAGCAGGGCCTAGTTGCACATGCCTGAAAACGAAGCAGCCCTCAGGAGGCTGGAGCTGAAGGCTAGTAATTTTGAAGCCAGCCTGGGTACACACTCTGTCTCAGGAAAGAAAAAAATATATATATATTACTAACAACAACAAAAATAATTTCTTTTCATTTACAGGTGAGAAAATGAAGGAGCCCTCACCCTCCCGCTCCCACCTCCACCCCAAGACACTCACATCTGTCTTCATATCAATTTTGGCAGGTTTCAGAATCAGGTCCTCCCGAACAATGCTACTGGGGAAATAGCCCAGGCGGGCAGCCGCGTCTCCATAGTAATCTCCCTGGACCTGGAGAAGAACTTGTAAGTCCATCTGGAAAAAAAGGGCACTCGTGCCTGCTGAACTCCAGTGCACAATCTTCTCTCATTTGAACCTCAGCTTAACGTCATTTGCTCGTGGACAGAATGTAGCCACCATAACTAATCCTCACAATGGCATGCTGGTTGCCTGTCTCCACCCATTAGAAATGAAAGGGGTTGTTCACTGATATAGCTGAGGTCTGGAAAAGAGCTTGGAACCAATCTGTCCTGTAATTGCTAAAGTAAAAACGCAATAGGTGATAAAAATATCCTCACCCCCCCAAATCTGTGCCCCTCCCACCCAGATTTTCCCCTCAGAGGGAAAACAGGGTACTCCATACCCTTCCCTCTAATTCTGAAGACTCACACTGCCTCCCCAGAAGAGCCGTCCACGGCCCTTCAGCTTGGAGAAGACATATACCACTTGGCCCCTGTATACATTCAAGAAGCGGCAATCAGGGGCCATGTAGTCCTGAAGGGCCACAGCCATGGAGATAGGATCTGGAGAAGGAGACGGGAATGAGAGCAACATCAACATAGACCAGCAGTCCAAGCCCTCAGCCCCTTGCCCTTCTTCCCTGACTCTTACGGCTGCATTCCTCATCCGCACACAGCTTCCACTCAGCCAGCTTGGGCATGTCACGATCAGCCCCGCTGGGCCCTGGGAAAACAGACAAGAAGATGGCACCAAGGAGTACTGGGGACCGCACCATCGTGGACTGAGAATGACCAAGTGAGGAATGGGATCTCCAGTCTCCTGCTGCCCTCCCTCAGTGCTGAGCCACAAGGAAAGCTGTGTTCTCAATCCTGTCTCCGCCCCAGACCAAATTACACCCCCCCACCCACTCCCCAAGGTTGTTATTCAGCCAGAACCATTTCAGAGACAGGGTAAGGGCTATGGGCCAAAGAAAATGCCCCCTGGAGCCCAAAGCAACCCAGGCCACTCCAAATAGCAGCTACCCCCTCAATAATCAGAGACCTGGATAGGCAGGCTGAACTAATCAGATTCCTTCTTCAAGTCATTTCAGGTACCCGGACCCTCCAGAGACCAAACTAGAGAGGCCAGCATAGAAAACCACCTTGGAATTTCCTGTACTGAGAACAAGGCAGTTCTTTGATTAGCAGCCACAGCCACAGTTCCCAGGTACTGAGCAAACACCCAATGTCCAGTCTCAGGCTAGGAGTGTCCCACCTGGCTTACTGTGCATCTTCACAGGCTTCCTCCTCCCTGGAAGGCCTGAGCTAAGCTATGTTAGCCTCCCTCATCTGCAAAGACAGCAATGAAAGCAAAGGACATCTATCCAGTGTTATTTTTGTTTTGGTGTGTGAATGTTTTGTTACATGTCTGTGTACCGCATGTGTGCTTGGTGCCCTTGAAGTTTTTGGAACTGGAGCTACAGACAGTGACAGTTGTGTACCCCCACAAACCTGAGTCTAGAAGAGCAGCCAGTGCTCTGCTCTTAATTGAGCCATCATTCCAGCCCACCACCCCCTCCTTTTGTTTTTAATGTTCATTGGTGTTTTGCCTGCATGTATGTCTGTGTGAGGCTGTCAGTTACAGTTGTTAGCTGCCATGTGGGTGCTGGGAATTGAGCCCAGGTCCTCTGGAAGAGCACTCAGTACTCTTAACTGCGGAGCCATTTCTCCAGACCACCCTTTTTTGGAAACAGGGTTCTACTACATAGTCTTGGCTGTTCTGGGACTCCCTATATAGAGCAGGCTGGCCTCAAAGTCACAAGGGATCCACCTGCCTCTGCCTTCCCAGTGATGGGTAAGGCATGCACCACCATGCAGGGTTAGGATCAAGTATATTTTTCCCCTAGGGGCTCTAACAAGCCCAGTTCATGAAGAAATTATTAATATAGAGTCAAGGAACATGTGTGCAAAGTAACTGAATCTGGAAGGGGGCCAAGATTTGTCTCAAGGTTTCCAAATATCATTGTTATCTGGCCTGAGGAATAGCTCAACAGATAAGCAGGGAACAGAGGCCCAAAAACTGTGTCTGGGGACCTCATAAAGATGTTATATGGCTTAGTGGCTGTGGCAGTTTGAATGAGAACTGTCCCTATAGGCTAATACAGTTGAGTGGTTCTCAGTTGTTGGGCTATTTAGGAAGAATTGGGACAGGTGGCCTTGTTGGAGGATGTGTCACTGGGGGTGGGCTTTGAGGTTTCAAAAGCCCAGCTCTCTGCCTCCATCTGGCAGATCAGATATAAGCTCCAGCACCATGCTTGGCCTATTGCCATGACAGCCACCATAATGGCCATGAACTAATCCTCCCAAACTGTAAACAAGCCCCCAAGTAAATATTTTCTTTTAAATTGCTTTGATCCTGGTGTCTCTTACAGCAATAGAATAGTAACTAAAATATGGTTGAATGTCTGCTAGTCTTGGGTTTAATCCTCAACACAAAAATAATGTATACTAATTTATCATTTATACAAGGGGCCTGGGATGGAGCGTGTCAAGCCTTCACAAAGCCCCTGAGTTCAATGTCCAAAAAAAAATACAACCAGTAAGATTGGTGTGAATTAAGAGCTTAGGTTATGGAGATTTACTTAAAAGCTTTGATCACAAGCTGGTATAAGAAAAGCTGGTAGCAGAGAACATGAGATAGCATGTTGTCTTCATGTCTGAATTCCCAACTTAAAATGTGAATGCGTTTCTGTGTGCAGTAGCTGTTTCAGTGTAAACACTACACTAGCTTCAAATCTTAGCACCATCAAGACTCATCAGGGAAAAAGCTGAAGGCCTCTGGGAGACAATTATCCAATAAAGAAATAAGAAGCTGCGGATGAGGCTCGGTTGGTAGGACTTGGCCTGGTACTGGGCCCTGGGGTCCACCCAGAGAGCCGAATAACCTGGGCGGTGAGGTTAGGACATATCATCCTGCTATATGGTGACTTCTAAGTCAACAAACTACCTCAAAACCTCAGTTGTCAGTTCCTAACACCACATGGTGGCTCAAAACCATTCGTAACTCCAATCCCTAAAATTAAAAAACAAAAACTTCTGATATAGGACACTTTAAATCCCAGTACTCAGGAGGCAGAGGCAGGCAGATCTCTGAGTTTGAGGCCAGCCTGAACTACAGAGCTAGTTTCAGGATAGCCATGGCTACACAAACCCTGCCTCAAAAAACAAACAAACAAAAAAAAAGAGAGATTTGAGGGTACAAGGGGTGTATGTGTGCAGCATGTTTAATAAAAACTCTGAGACAGATATTGGGGTTCAACCTGAAAATCAGAGCACTAGCTGGGCGGTGGTGGCGCACGCCTTTAATCCTAGCACTTGGGAGGCAGAGGCAGGCGGATCTCTGAGTTCAAGACCAGCCTGGTCTACAGAGCTAGTTCCAGGACAGGCTCCAAAACCACAGAGAAACCCTGTCTCGAAAAACCCAAAAAAAAAAAAAAAAAAGCAGAGCACTCAGCCACTGCCTCTTACCTCTACCTCACTCCAAAAATGGCGAAACCTCAGAAATGAGACTGAGTCTGAGAGCTGTCTCCTCCTATCTTATAATCCTCTCTAGGGCTAGGATTAAAGGTGTGCACCACCACCGCCCAGCTAGAAGTATTTTTTAAATTTTAAATTACAAGTTATTTTGAATACTGAAATGAAATCCCACCCAGTTCCATTTCAGCACGCCAAGGATGTGAATCAGATTTGTGTCCAGTCTAGCACATTGTACACGTTATCATCATTCATGAAAGCAGACCACGGCTATGTTCAACTGCCTGTGACTAAGTCATCCTTACTGTACTTCATAGTGTACTCAGCACAGAAGCAGTGATGCTGACAAGTATGCTGACATAGACCTATAGTTCCAGCATTTGGGAGTCTGGGCAGAAGGACTGGGAATTTGAAATCTATCTGGAATGTACAAAGCACAAACAAGCAAACATTTTTTTAAACTTTTATTTATGCATATTGGGGGGGGGGTGCATGTAAGTGCAGCTGCCTATGGAGGCCATAAGAGGGCATCAGATGCCCTGGGGCTGGAATTACAGGCAATTATGAACCAAAGAGGGTGTTGGGACCAGACCTGGGCCCCTGAAAGAGCGAATGATCTTCACTGCTGAGTCATCGCTCCACTACCACCATTTATGTATGGGGGGGGGGGGGGGCATTAGCCAAAAAGTTTCAGGCTTTCTCCAAGGGATGAGGTAAAAGGTTTCCATTTTAAAAAAGCCAGGTAATGGTAGTGCATGCCTTTAATCCCAGCACGCAGGAGGCAGAGACAGAGACGGATGGATCTCTGTGAGTTCAAGGCCAGCCTGATCTGCAGAGCAAGTTCCAGAACAGTCAGGGCTGTTACACAGAGAAACCTTGTCTTGAAAAACCAAAAGAAATGTATGGAAATAACAGATTGTGTGAAATTGTGAAGAAAAAAGTTGCAGCTGTTACATGTGATCAATGCTTAGTTGACGTGAAATGTAAGAGGCCAGGTGTGATGGGAGATGCTGATAAACACTGGGAAGGTACAGGCAAGGGGGTTGGCTCAGCCTAGCTTAGAGCAAAGAGCACTGGCTGCACTTCCAGAGGTCCTGAGTTCAATTCCCAGCACCCACACATGGTGGCTCCCAACCGTCTCTAATGGGATCTGATTCCCTCTTCTGGTGGGCACGAAGACAGGTCACTCACATACATAAAATAAATATAAAAAGTCAAGACGGGGGCTGGAGAGATGGCTCAGAGGTTAAGAGCACTGACTGCTCTTCCAGAGGTCCTGAGTTCAATTCCCAGCAACCACATGGTGGCTCACAGCCATCTGTAATGAGATCTGGTGCCCTCTTCTGGCCAGCAGGCGTACATGGAGGCAGAATGTTGTATACATAATAAATAAATAAATCTTTAAAAAAAAGAAAAGTCAAGACGGAAAAAAGTACTGCAGGGTTCTGAGCTCAGGCTTCAGTTAGACAGGGATTTTGCTTCTGAAGCAGATCGCCAGTTCAAACCACAGGGGATTTCAAAAGTACAAACACCAGAGCCATGTTCAAAGACCCAGGCTAATCACACACAAAGTTCATACGGGACCCATGTGACCAAGGCAGCTTCTACTGCCCACCCTGTACTCCCCTTACCCACCTCACCACATTCAGAAGCTCAAGCACTAAAGTACCCCCACCTCAGGATCTCGGCACTGGCCGCTACTCTGGTGGCCGAGTAGCTGGGGCACTTGGTCCAAGACCACCTTCGCTTCGGGCCGTACTGGCCACTCTACACTGCTGTGCTTTGACTTTCATTTTCTGCCCCTCAGAAGAGAAAACTGGCCCCAAGTTCAGTCACTTGTCAAGATCACAGCAGTGACTCAGGGCACCCTGGCCTCTGAGCCTGCCAGGCACAACCTCGCAGCAGGCAGGCAATGGTCACACATTGGCTTAGTCAGAAAGGAGTTCATCAGGGGGTGGAGATAAATGAAACACCTCTACAAACCCAGCACTAGCGGCTCCACCCCTTCAGAGGAACTTTCCCCTGATTAGCCTACTGTTCCCAGCTCTACAGCCCCACCACAGCAGCTCAGGCTGCCAGGGAACTCAGGGCAATCCCCCTACCCCAGCCTTCTGGGTACTAGGACCACAGGCGCCTATCAGCTTTAATTTTCGCTCTCAAGTTTTATTCAGCATCTCCTAGTATTCAGCAAGTATATACTGAATCTGCTGATTGCTGGCACGGTGCCTGGTGGTGTTCGTGGGAACAAACATGATCATCATCATGGCAGGAACAAGAGTTCTCACACAGGAAGAAAAAACTTAACTGCCCACTGAGTGACAGCTAGGGAGGCCCCAAACTACTACAAATCAGATGGGCTAACCACAGAACCCACATGTCACAGTCATTAGGCCAATGTGGAAAGAGATGTTTCCACTTGCCTGTCTGCAACAACATGGGAGTCCCTTAGTGATACAAGCAACAGCTCTGCCCTGCTCTTTCAAATGCCACGGGGACAGTCTTCAGTGAGCCATCCCTCTGTAATAGCATGCAGAAGCCGGCCCTTCTGAAGCAGGAGTATCCTTGTGCAGCTCACGACCTGCCCAAATGCACACGGGTGTCTTTCCTGTCCTCAATAATTTGAGACCAAAAAAAACCAAAACAAAACAAAATAAAACAAAACCACCCTGCCGAAGCTGTCAATGTAGCTTAAGTTGTGGTTAATATCGTTATACTCGTGTGTTTTCCAAGATTGTGAGTGAACCCACAGAGGCCAGGAGATTCAACCTCTCCATGTGGAGGGAACCAAGGAAGACAAAATAAAACAGACAATAGTGGTGAAAAACCAACCCTCAAAAAAACCACTTTAATCACAAGCCAACAGCGCCAGGTGCAATGTCTGGGGAGACTCTGGGTACAATGCTGTGTGGCAACCACACACTCACACGCGGCTCTGAGAAGGCCCCCAAGGGGGACTTACCTTCAGGGACTGAGCCAAGGGGGGGGGGGGGGGTTTAAGGGGCAGCCCCAGAATGGGGACCGGGACACCCCGTGGGGGAAGGCGCTACTTCTTGGCAAAAGAGATCTTCATGGCATTGTTCTGCGTGATCTTAAAGCCTTGCAGGGCATCTCGTGCTGCCCCAGCCTGCACTTCGTTGTCAAACTCCACAAAGGCAATGTCGTGCCGCCCGGGGACCAGACGCACCTCCTTGAAGCCAGGGAACCTGGGAGGAGGGAAGAGCAGACCTCAGAGACCCCCTCGGCATTCCCCTAATATGTGGCACCAACAAAATGACAGAATTCACAGCACAGACCCCATACCAAAGATTACCTGGACACAACACAGGCAAAACCCCTACTATAAACACCGTTGAAAGAAAAGCCTTAACAGCCAAACCACAACGCGGCTTAAACTCTGGCACCTCTTCCTTCCCCCAAAGCCCAAAGTCCATCTTGCTTCAGTCTTCCAGGTCCCCAGACTCCAGGCGTTCACTGCCACAATACCCAGGTTTGACAGACATTTCTGTAACTAGGAAAGCTTCAGCCCTGGTCCACTCGGCAATCCCTCACTCAAGGTCTACAGGTTCCCTCGGATCGCTAGTGTCCTCAGTGTCCCTGGCCCATGCCAGTCTAAACCGGTCCCACATTTTACTCCTCTTTTACTTTTCCCTTGTTCTGCACTTCTCAGTGTCACAGACACAAAAAGCAGCCCAGGACCTCAAATACATGGTGCTCATAGCACAGTGTGCCCCATGGCCGTCTTCCTTTCCCCCTTTCACGCCTTCAGCCACCGAGCCTACCAGACTCTATAGTGACCACCGGAACACCGGAACCCACCAGCCCAGCCAGAAGCCCCACTTACTGGTTGAAAAGCATGGACAGCATGAGCTCATTGGTCTCCTCAGGCAGGTTGGTGAGGAACAGGATGTGATTGGGTGGATTCTCGGAGAGCTGTTGGGAGAGATGGCTGCCAGTGAGCAGGGGTACCCCAGGAATGCCTGCTACTGCACTCTGCTCACCACCCTGTTCAGAATCTTTCTCACATGTTCCCCAACGCACACATTGTTGTTCCTCTCCCCATAGCCAGTGCCCATAGACTGCAGGCCCAAGGCAGCGGAGACCTTCCAGCTACTGCCACTACTGTGTGCTGGGGCTAGGACAGCACAAGGTGCCCTAGCACACACACGACACCCAGATGCAGACCTTGATTGACTTAGCCTCACCCTGCTCCCCCAGACCAACACCCAAGTCAACCCCTCTGACCCAGGATGGCTCACCCACAGAGAGCGCAGCAACACCTCCCACCTGACCTAAGAGCCCCAAGTAACTGTTCCACTTCTGCATGCAAACCATGCTTGTGAGACCTTACAGTGGGGTGGGGTCACTTACAGGCTGGGCAGGCGGCATCTGTCCAGGCATGAGCTGCTGCGGGGGCATGGCCCCAGGGGGGATCTGGCCAGGAGCAAGGCCCGGTGGTGGGATCATGCCAGGTGGTGGCATGTAAGGAGGCTGGCCAGGCATGTGGTGCATGATGCGGGGAGCCTGAGTCATGGGCGGCATACCCTGTGGAGAAGAGGGCAGGACTGATGGGCTACAGGTCAGGGGTAGCAAGGTCACAGCACCCGCAATGCAAAAAAACAGAGCTATGAAGATGAGAGACAGAAGAGGAAAGACCCACACCTGAAAAGATAAAAAACAACACCCAGCGAACACCACTGAGAGCAAAACTGAAGACTTGGGACTCAAGGAGGAATGTTAAACCAGAAAAAGGGTTTTTGAAATAGTTAAAAGTACAAATAAGAGCACTGCCCAACTTTGTTCAGATATTTAAACCGAAACCAGAGGAGGACTGGAGCGATGACTCGGTGGTTAAGGGTGGGTACCACATCAGAACAGTTTGGTTCCAGGCACCGTCAGGCAGCTCACAACTTCATGTGATTCTAGCGCTAGAGGACCCAATGCCCTCTTCTGGCCTCCACAGGCACTGTACTGAGGGGGCTCAGCGGTTAAGAGCATTGCCTGTTCTTCCAGAGGACTAGGGTTCAATTCCCAGCAAACATCGCAAATCACAAATATAAATATAAACATTACATATACACATACACGTAAAACAAAGCAAATTTTAAAAAGGAAAGAATGAGAGCTATCAGGATGGCTCAGCGGGGAAAAGCACCTGCCTCCAAGTCTGACAATCTATGTTCAACCTGGTAGACGGACCTCCTCAATAAGTTGTCCTCTGACCTCTGCTCATGTCCCATGGCATGAACACTCATAAACACACACAATAAGCAAAATGTAGCCGGGCGGTGGTGGCGCACGCCTTTAATCCCAGCACTCGGGAGGCAGAGGCAGGCGGATCTCTGTGAGTTCTAGACCAGCCTGGTCTACAAGAGCTAGTTCCAGGACAGGCTCCAAAACCACAGAGAAACCCTGTCTCGAAAAAGGAAAAAAAAAAAAAAAAAAGCAAAATGTAATTTAAAATGAAATTGATAACAAGCTAAAGACACACAGACACCACCACTACCTGAACATCAAGAGACTGAAAGACTCAAAAGACAAAAGACAGAGAAGGAAGGAGGGGCAAAATCCAGCCACCTTTTGTTTTCTGCTCAGGACTTCTGGTGTCCTGCACAGAATGAAATTCCACTTCTCATGCACTCAGCAAGACGACAGGACACTTTGAAGGTTTCTTTACTATCTTTGTAGTCTGCTGTCACATGCAGCTCATGATTTAGCCTGAGTTAATTTTTCTCAAAATGAGGCCTAAAACTACAATTACACTTTTTCAGTCCCGGATAACTCTCCAGAATTGGTTCCCTCCTCCTACCATGGGACCCAAGGACCGAACTCAGGTTGCCAGGCAAGTACTTTTATCAGAATGGCCAACACATCAAGGATCATGTTGGTTTGCCCTAGATCAGTGCGTAGTGTTGTGGAATATTAGTTGAAAATGAACATGTGTTTAATGATGCAAAGATGTGCTGCATTCTTCTACATTGCATTTGTTTCACTCTGTGAAGCTGTGTTTCTTTGCCTGTCTAAAGGTCAATAGTTAAACAGGAGAGGGACAGGGAGAGCTGGCAGGCAGAGAGAATAGATAAAAAAGTACAGGAGGTACGAGGGAGAAAAGGAGAGGGGGAGATCAGGAGCAGAGTAAGAGTCAAGAAAGGTATATAGAACAGAGAAAGGGACCGGGCGGTGGTGGCGCACGCCTTTAATCCCAGCACTCGGGAGGCAGAGGCAGGTGGATCTCTGTAAGTTCGAGACCAGCCTGGTCTACAGAGCTAGTTCCAGGACAGGCTCCAAAGCCACAGGGAAACCCTGTCTCAAAAAAACAAAAACAGGAACAGAGAAAGGGGGCTCAGAGGTTAAGAGCATTGCCTGCTCTTCCAAAGGTCCTGAGTTCAATTCCCAGCAACCACGTGGTGGTCCACAACCATCTGTAATGAGGTCTGGTGCCCTCTTCTGGCCTTCAGGCATAACGCAGAGAAAGGAAAAAGCCCAGTGGCAAAGGGTAGACAGGATAATTTAAGAAAAGCTGGCTAGAAACAAGCCAAGTGAAGGCTGGGTATGCATAAGAAAGACTAAGTCTTTGTGTATTTATTTAGGGAGCTGGGTAGTAGGGCCCCAAAGAATAAAAAACAAACAAAAACACCTGCAGTGCTGACACTCAACCTCCGACCCTGCTGCGGTGATTCCCAGTGTGCATGAACAACTGACTCTTCATTCTTCCTTCCGCTTGTAGAACTAGGGATTGAATGGAGGTCTCCCACAGGCTGTCGATTGCTTTGATTTTTACTTTATAATCCACTAGTCCCTCTAAATTTGCCTATTATTTCTAACAGGAAGCTGGTAACTTTTAACTTTCTATAAAGTCACGAACTTAGCGCACACAGACACACACACAGTACTCAAGTAAAGATACACAAAACAAAACCAAGGAAAGGGAACCAGAAGACAGATGTGCAAAAGACAGATCTTCAAAGACAATCAAGTGTACGCTGGGGAAGAGGCACCCAAGATACTCCCCCACCACACGGCTCACCAACCCAATGGGACAAGTCCCCTCAGTCTACCCCCACCCCAGGACACATGGCTGAAGGCCTGACAGAGGGACATGGTCCTGCCCCCTGGCTTACCGGTACAGGCTGAACAGCGCCCACCACGGGGGCAGCTGCCCCACCCTGAACAGCCTTTTTGGCAGCTGGTGTCTCCTGACTTTTGGGCTTCCTCTTCTCTCGTTTGCGGTCCCTTTCCACAAAGGTGCCCTTCATCTTGGCAATGATGTCCGAGTCAGTCTTGGCATATTGGATGCGCTACCAACCAGAGCAGAAAGGTCAAGGCCATGGAAATCAGGGGGAAACTGCCAGAGTTTAAAATGTGACCTCTTGAGGAGCCTGCTAAGAAAAACTATATAGACTGCTTGGCCACAACTTCCTCATCTGTAAAATGGGGATATTTTCCACCTGGCAGGACTGTGGTAGGAACTTAATAGGTCTAAGCTCCTGGAAGCAGCAGCCCTGTTAATAACTGTAAGGTAGAGGAGGTGTTTACAAGTTCTCCTATGAAGAACCCAGACATGCTCAGACACAAAAATAAAATACTTGGCTGGGTGTTAGTGGTGCACGCTTTTAATCCCAACACTTGAGAGGCAAAGGCAGGCAGATCTCTGTGAGTTTGAGGCCAGCCTGGTCTACAGAGCGAGTTCCAGGACAGTCAGGACTTTTACACAGAGAAACCCTCTCTCAAACTCGCCCTCTCACCCCCAAGAAAAATTGAGACAGGGTCTCACTATGTAGCTCTGGCTGATCTGGAATTCCCTATGTAGAACAGGCTGGCCTAGAACTCAGAGACCCATCTGCCTCTGTCTCCCTAAAATTAAAAGCATGCACTACTATGCCCAGCAATAAATGACCTCCTTTCTAAAGTTCGACGCTCATAAGGAGCCCTAGAGTATTGCAAAGTGAAGTTTTCAATCCAGTGCTTAGGAAAGGACGAATAACAAAGGATGGGGACCACCATGGACACATGGAGCAAGAGAACAGCCGGGAAGCTAAGGGATGAGAAAAGCTGAGCCAGGGACTCTTAGCTGCTCAAGACACCCAGGCAAAGGGATACTAAGCTCAACTTCTGCCTGGCTACACTGAGGATTAGAGGAAGGGATAAGGTAAGGTCAGAGGGGGACAGACCCTTTGTGCTTTCTAAGAAGCTGAGGCATTGTTGTGATGAGTGATGTGTGGTCTGTAGATAGGCCTGGGGGCATAAAGGAGCACACAGGGAGCCAAGGAAAGAACAGGGCTCAGTAAGAAGGTTCCCACAGGGCAGGTGGTGGTGCACACCTTTAATCCCAGCACTTGGGAGGCAGAGGCAGACAGATCTCTGTGAGTTCGAGACCAGCCTGGTCTACAAGAACTAGTTCCAAAATATGCTCCAAAGCTACTGAGAAACCCTGTCTTGAAAAAAAAAAAAAAGTTCCCAGTGGAGTCAGGTGATTAAAGCAGCAGTGAACAGGGTGTAGGGAATCTCTGTGCACTTTGGTTCAAGCCTATTTTTGGAAGGGTTTTGAGCAAGCTCCCATTCTATACTCCAGGGTGGGTTAGAACTCTTGGCAATCCTCTTGCCTCACTCTCCTACACGCAGACATGAACCATCATGCTCAATTTCTTGATCATTTTGTGTGCCCATGGCCCCAGGATAAGGAGCACCAAATAGAAAGAACAGCAAGAAAAAGTAGCATCCAAGAGCACACTACAGGCCACAGGACCAGCCCCACCTTGGCTCCTACTTGGAGCACACACACACAACCTCCATATTCAAGATGCTCACCATGGGCTTGTCGTAGAAGGGGAACCCCTGCATGGAACGCAGGGCATTAGTGGCACTGCTGACCTCCTTGAAGATGACAAAGGCCTGGCCCCTCATCTTCAGGCTCCGAGACACCAGAATATCCAGGATCTGGCCAAACTGGGAGAAGATGGCATACAGGGACTTCTTGAGCTCTGCATTCAAGGAAGACAAGACACACTGTGACAAAAGGCCTGGCACTGTGTCCTGGGATTTGCACTATCTTAGAGGATGGACAGCCCAAATAAGGGGCCACCTGCCAACTGACAGAATATTCAGAATGCCATAGCTCAAGAACCCACAACAGCCAGGTAGTGATGGCACAGGCCTTTAATCCCAGCACTCGGGAGGCAGAAGCAGATGGATCTGTGAATTCAAGGCCAGGCTGGTCTACAGAGCAAATTCCGGGACTGTTAGAGCCACACAGAAAAACCCTGTCTTGAAAAAGCCAAAAAGAAAAAGTTAAAAAAAAAAAAAAACCAACCAACCCACAACAACAGAAACAGCCAAGAACCATTCAAGTGGAAACTCACGTTTACATAACCTTACAAGACGTGGACAGCTCTGTTCTGCTTTGAGTACTGTTTGCTACAGTGTGAAGCAGTTTGGTGAGGTTGGTGGTGCTGGATTCAGATGGGAATTGAATTGTGGTCCTGGCTGGGCCAAGTCCTTCTCAGCGTCCTTAGGATACCTGCTCTTGGCTAGGGGACATTTATGTTGTGTGTGGTGAGGGGTTGGGGAGATGAGGGATAGAGAGGAGACAATGACAGGATAACTCTGGGGAGTCAACTCTCCTCCCACCACTGAGTCCCCAGGAATTGAGTCTCCTGCCTCAGCCTTCAAATGCCCAGAACTCTTCTTCCGCAAGGACTACCCCAACTTTGGGCAACCTGACCACAGACCCAGCAAGCTCACACGGCACACACAAGGAAGTCAGAGGGTACTCGCCTCCTAGCGTGGGACCTGGGAAGGTCAGGCTAAGCACCAAGCATGCTTACCAGCCAAACTATCCTTCAGAACACTATTTCCAAAAAATTATATGCAAAAGGGGGCCAGTGTAGAGGTGGTAGAACCTCGTGACCGAGTATGGCCTCAGGAACCACAGAGGTAAGAGCCTCCCTAGAGCTGTCCTGATCAAACACGTGTGTCAACATTGATAGAGTTTGCCTGCTCCTATATCTGTGTGAGGGTGTGCTATCCCTGGGAACAGAAGTTATAGACAGTTGTGAGCTGTCATGTGGGTACTGAGAATTGAACCCAGGTCCTCTGGAAGAACAGCCAGTGCTCTTAATCACTGAGCCATCTCTCCAGGATAAGTAGGTTTCTTAGCTGCTGAGGTTCAAACCCAGAGCTCATACCAGGCAAGACTAACACTATTTGCAGTTTTGGAAACAAGGTTTTGTATGTATCCTAGGCTGGTCTGGAACTCAAGATCCTCCTGCCTCAGTCTTCTGAGGACTGGGATTACCAGCCTGCACCATCACACCCAAAGAGATTGTCTATGGTCTCTTTTTTGCCCCTTGTGCTGATCAGGTAGTCCAAACTGGCTTCACTTCAGCTCTCCCTGAGTAACTGAACTACAGCCTTCTGCCATCCAAATCAGTTCAAGAATTTACATAACCAGAGTCCCACACTTATATCACAACCATTTTTCTTGCTATTTGATCTCAGGCAAGTTATGCCACCCAAGCTCCGATTTCTTCATCTAAGAGGCTTGTGAGAATTAAATATATCCAAGACTATAGACTCCTGCACACATCCCCCATGTTACACAGCATTACGTGCGTATCTCATCACTTCTGGATGCTATTTGCATTATAGTCAACCACGAGGACCAATGCCCAGAGGTCCACAGAGACAGTCTCATGATGTAGGATCCAGCCATGATAAGCTAAATATGAACAGATCACCCAAAGGAAGTTCTTTAATTCCACCATTATCACCTGCCAGAGTAGAACTCAACCCTCAATAAGTTTAATGGAGGAATGAAGTCTCAGTAGTTTACCCTGAAGCAATACCTGGTTGCAGAAAGGACCATAAACTAAAGATTACCTGAGTACCACCCAAGAACAGAACCTCCAAAGGAAACGCCTAATGTTCTAACCATTGTAGATAGGATCACCTGCCAGTACACTCACCAGGACACCCCTAGACAAATGTCAGCCAATCAGGGGTCCTGAACCACAGAAACCCCTCACCCCTACCTTTACTACTATAAAATCCCAACTCTAACTGAGCTCAGGGCTCTCCGTTTATTCCAATACGTTGGACATGCGGAGAGACCGAGTTTGCAAACTTGCTTTTACATATGGGACTCGGTCTCCTCGTGGGCTTTTGGGAGATTTCGCGGATTTGGGCATAACAATGATAGCAGACTGAGCTGTGCTTGATGAAGAGAAAGATTCCAAAAGGCTTCACAAAAAGAAGGGGCCGGTGAGCTAAAACCTTGAAGATTATCAACAAGGCGCACAGGTTAAAGAGCAGAATGCAAAATGGTTAAGCGCGTGTTGAAAACCAAGGGCTCGGTACGTACAAAGGCCAAAGTTAACTCTTAACAAACTGAATGGGGAAGGCTGAGAAAAAGCGGGTGCTAGAGGTAGAAGAGTCAGCTCATGTGAGATCACCCAGAGTCCAGGCTATCCCGAGAACTTACCATCCTTCTTGATCTTCTCATTGAGATTGTTGATATAAATAGTGTGGTTGGGACGGGTCTCAGGAACTGCCATGGTGTGAGACGCTCACGGCTTAAAGGGAGAAAAAGAGGCGACTTCAGCCCTACGTTTCCCAAAATTCTTGGTTCTAAGGCCTGATGGGCTCTGTTCAGGGCTCTGGGATCCTTCCAAGAGTAAACTGGGTAAGCTCGGAATGGGGGGAATAAGGGCACAGCTTGGCAACAAAGCCAGCTTCTCCAGCCCGCGTGCTAGGGGAATCTAGAAGGTAACTACGAATCCCAGAATGCCCTACGAGTCCCGGCAGGCGGAGCGTACCAAGCGGCGATTTCAATTAGTCCACGCGCACGAACGGCGCCCTGGGAGGAAAAAAGAACCCGGATGTCGGAGCCAGTTAAGAAAGTAGGGACCGATTTTAGACATCCTGGTCTCTCAAAGAGAGGCCTCCCGAAATAACGCGGCCGAAGGCCCGACGCCAAGTGCTCCACTCGCCTCCCCAACGCCAAGCGGCGTCTACACCCGCGAGAATTCACCACCTGAGCCGCCGCGCCTTCCACGCTCCCCTGCTCAGGCACACAGCTTCCCGTCCTGGCCCCGGCTTCCCTCCCCGCGAGATGCTCGCCACGCGCAAACTCGGTAGGTTTTGACTGTTCGGTTAAGTCCCCGGCCTCAGCGCCTGCCAATGAAAGGAACACTTGGGTTCCCGCCTTAGTGATAATCCCCGCCCCCTTCCCTAGAGTAACCAGACCAATCGAAGAAAGCTACGAGCTCTTGGCCAATCGGGACATCACTAGGGCTCTAGTGCCTTCCAGACTGCCTTTCGGAAGCCACACCTCTTCCCCTTCGGCCAGTGGCCTTGAGCCACGTGATCAACCGCGTGGGCTGAGAAAGGACGGTGGAGTCTGGTAGGGTCAACGCCGTTTGCTCCCGGTGGGAAGCGAGCAGTTCCTGAGTTCCTAAGTTCCGTTCCTTAGTCGACCCTTGATCGCTGAGCCTCTCTTACTTCCCGACTGATTCCAGGACCCTGCCACCACTAGGCTGTTTTCCCAGCCACGTGATCTCTTGACCTAACTCCTACGGGCAACCTTAACGTTCCAAATTCGAGCCAGGGATGTGAAATGAGGCAAGTCACCCCAACCTCATCCCGGATCTGAGCATCCTTATTACGGAAGTGACCGAAACTAGCTAGCTCCGGGGGGATGAGATGACAGAATTTCCCACCTAATGTAAGTCCCATCCCCATAGCACAGCCCACCCTTCTGGAGCCTTCATCTGACTTAGCCCAGTTTCTTTTTCCACCGTTTCAAACACTAACCCAGGTTCTTCCAGACCGACTGAATTAGGTGCCATATTCTGCAATTCAACTCTAATTTTTAATTTTTTAATACAGATTTCTGTGTGCGGGCCTGAACGCCACATCCAGTTGCTCTAAAAACTGAAACTCTATCCTTGAGATTTGGGAGGATCCTTTCTCGTTCTCACATCGGCTCATCCTGAAGACCCCACATGACTTCTCCATGCTCTGTCCCCCTAAAACCCACAATCCCCCCAGTAACCCAAGACCCCAATATTCCACCTCCTTTACCCCCAGATCCTCTGGACTTAGCTTTGCCATCCCCTCCCTGTAGTCCCCAGGCTTCAGTTCCACCCCCACCCCCACTGCCTCCTCCACCCTCTACTGTGGAGGTTGCTCCCCCTCATGTCTACGGCGTGGAGAAGAGCCGGCTGCTGAAGGAGGCCTTGGAGAAGGCTGGCCCAGTCCCCAAAGGCAGAGAAGATGTGAAGAGGCTCCTGAAGCTGCACAAAGACCGGTAGGGTCTCCAAACCCCTAACACCACGCCAAGTCTCATCCAGCCCCCTGTCTCCAGATCACTTCAGCCACTCCTTGGGGTTTCCCATTTTTTTGATCTCAAACAGCCCTATGTCTTAAGTCCCCTACCTAGCTCTTCAGTGATTGGCCTCCAGCATCAGAGAAAGCGATGCTCTGTCCCTCCACATAGTGGCTCCCAGAGCAGCCAGGGTTGTAATAACTGGGTCCAAAGGGAGTGTGTGACTCAGTGGTGGCTTCTGAAAGACAGGCAGCTACGGATGCTAGGGAGCAAGTTATGGAGGCCTGTCCCTTGAGAGCAGACAGCATAGGCGCAGGTCTACAATAAAAACATACGTGTTCTCAAAGAACACAAGAGCTGGGAAAGTAGGTGAGCAGCAGTGTGGCTGGCTGGCTGGGTCTCTGACTAGTCACAAAAAGGCGTTGCCCAGAAAAGAACTAGAGTTAAGAGGGACTAGAGGTCATGAATGGAGTCCAAAGTCCCAGGAAGAAAGTGATGCACCCCAGGACACAGGCAGTAAGGGAAGAGGATAAAGAAGACACCACAGGGGCTGGAGAGATGGCTCAGTGGTTAAGAGCATTGCCTGTTCTTCCAAAGGTCCTGAGTTCAATTCCCAGCAACCACATGGTGGCTCACAACCATCTGGCGCCCTCTTCTGGCCTTCAGGCATACAGACAGAATATTGTATACATAATAAATAAATAAATTAAAAAAAAAAAAAGAAGACACCACAGGCCCCTCTCCAAATTGATAAAGAAACTCCCCCAGTGCCTGACATAGGGGCACGAGCCTATAATCCCAGTGGTCAGGAAGCTGAGCAGATGAGTTCCAGGCCAGACGAGCTACATAGTGAGACCTTGTGTTGGAAGGAAAGGAGGGAGGGAGGGAAGAAAGAGGGAATTCTTAAACTCCCAACCATACTTAAAAGGCACACCAAGTGCCTAACCACCATTATGCAAATTGGATGCAGACAGCCTGTCACCACATTAGTAAGTATTTTCTTCTTAAGACGAACCTCTCCACCAAAGCAAATAATCCCAACAGACCAAATCAAACCAAATTAAGAGATGCCCATGTTTAATGGAGTGCTCCCAGGTGGCCCTGGAAAACAAGGAGAGGGGAAGAGAGATAAGAGGAGACCACTTGTTCTTTCTCTGGGGGGGGGAAGGGGAGCAGTTTAAAGAGTCTTGACCTTCCTTGGGGAGGAATTATCCTTTGGCAGGCTTTCTTGACCCTCCCTGGGGAGGGGCTTTCTCAGAGGTGGAGTTTGGACCAAGGCAACTCCCAGGGGAGGGACCTTATGCCAGGAGCTGGGGTGCACCCAGCCAAGCAATCCAGACTTTTTATATAAAGGAAGGGGTGTTAGGGAACTGAGGTGACACTTTTGACCAAGTGTAATCAATGTCAGATTAAACGGATTTTTTTTTAATCGGGCATTGGTAATGTATGTCTTTAATCCCAGCACTCAGGAGGCAGAGGCAGGTAGATCTCAATGAGTTCAAGGCCAGCCTGGTCTACAAAGTGAGTTCTGACAGCCAGAACTAAACAGTGAAACCCTATCTTAAAAACAAAAACAACAAAAGATTTCTTTACTTTGTTTCTTGGGCTATTACTAGTTGGGTTTGGGGAGTTTGTGTGTTTTAGCTAGGGTCCCATGTAGCCCAGGCTGACCTCAAAGTCGGTGTAGCTGAGAACACCTGTTCCTTCTTCCTCCACTTCAGGAGATGACAGATGTATATTACCTTCACCAGCTGTTTGGTGCTGGTGGTGGTTTGAAACAAGGTCTCTCTTTGTACCTCTGGCTGTCCTGGAACTTACTGTGTTGACCAGGCTGGCCTTGAACTCCCAGAGATCCACCTATCTTCCCCTCCAAAGTGTTGTGATTAAAGATGTATGCCACCACACTGGTCTGTTGTGTTTGTTTGTTTGTTTGTTTGTTTGTTTTTGACCCAGTGTCACACTGTAGCTCAAACTGACAGAAGTCTGTGTTGCCCAGGCTGGCCTGAAACTCAATGGCAGTCCTGCCTCTGCTCTCAAAGGCTGTTATTACAAGCATGGATCCCCATGGCTGGCTGAGTTTTAAAGATGTGTTGCTCTCAGCAACCTCATGAAATAGGAACTGTTTCTTTCCTGTTTTCTGGATGAGAAAGCCAAGTCTCTTAGAGGGCTGGAGAGATGACTCAGTGGTTAAGAGCACTGGCTGCTCTTGCAGAGGATCTCAGTTCCCAGCACCCACATGGTGTAATATAGCCATAACTCTAGATCTAGAGGACCCAGCACCTCTTCTGGATCCCGTGGGTACCCACACAAGTGACATTAACTCTTCTATACACAAGTCAAAGGAAACGTAAATTGAAAGAAAGCTGAAGCTCTTAGGGGCAGTCACTTAGCCACAGTTCAAAGAAGGAAAGAGATCTCCATTTGAATTCCAGTAGGGGATTTGGTGCTTCTAACCACCCTGCTGTGGTCAGGAGTTACCTCAAACTAAGAACCTGGAGCTTTGTGTATTTATCATGGGTGTGAGCATCCCCATCACCACCCCTGGCTTTGCCCTCCTGCTGGCCGTGGGACTCGAGGGACTGAGATTCCCTGGTCAGCCCTTCTCAGCTTCATCTGAGGTGCTCTCTTGGGCCTTAAGCATATTGTCATCTGGTTTTATGTAAGACTGAATTAATCTATTTATTTGTTATGTGGTATATGTATGCTACAGTTTTGGTGTGAGTGAGGTCAGAAAACACTGCATGAGTCATTTCTTCCAGCATGTGGGGCCTGGGACTTGAACTGAAGTTGTCAGGGTTAGCAGCAGATGCCTTTATCCGTTGAGCCCTCAAACTAGCCTCCCATCTGCCCCCTCCCCACACACACACCTCAGACCTGGTAGAGAGAATAATCAAACGCTGGCTCTGGTAGCACACCTTTAATCCCAGCATTGGGGAAACTAAGGCAAGAACATTGCCATTGGTTGGAGGCTAACCTGGGATACATTTGAAGATAATGTCTACAAAAAAAGAAAATAAAAATCTTAGCATTTGGGTACAAAACATACCACCTTCTAAAATTTTTCTTAGAGAAATCTTTGTGATTCATGGTTGTATAGGTTCTGCATCTGCTCTGCCTTTCAAGCCCTGTGAGAAGCAGCAGGAAAAAAGCAAAATAATGATCCCCAGATGAGAAAACTGAGGCTTTGGGTGTGGGGTCTTACTGCCTCAGCAGGGGAGTAGCCTGAGGCCTTAGTCCTTCTCCACGGGTGATCTGAGAGCCATTCCCTGTGACTTATTGTTCTGCTTCAGGTTTCGAAATGACTTGCAATGGATCCTCTTTTGTGCCGACCTACCGTCGCTCATCCAAGAAGGCCCTCAGTAAGTACCCACTGCTCTGACGTGAGAGGGTCCTGCCAGTTTTCTAAGGCTAGACTGGCACTGTGGGAACAGTACTCTGCCCTGGGCATCCTAGGGAGGAGGGAGAGAAAGCAGGGCCTTTTCCTCATCATCCGTGTGTGTGTGTGTGTGTGTGTGTGTGTCTGTCTGTCTGTCCGTGTGTGTGAGTGATACAGAAGGACCATCTAAATGAGTAGCTGAATGAACCCCAATGAGTGCACAGATGAAGTGTCCCGTCTCCTTAAACCCAGGTTTGTCCCCACCTTCCAGCCTATTACTGTACCTGGCATGGGAGAGGAGATAGGTCCCCTAGACAGTACACCCCTCCCCCCTCTGAGGTCAGGGGAGTTCAGTAAAGATACAGCATGTGCTAGAGTGGGCTGTCTCTCTCAGGTGTGGACTGGTGGCCTTGTGGATGGCAGGCACTCTTCTGTCAACCCCGGACACTGACAGTGTCTCTCTGGAAAGACTGGTGCAGGTAGCCATGGAGAGAGGCTACACGGCACAGGGAGAGATGTTCTCTGGTAAGTTGGCTAGGAAATACCTCAAGCCCTAAGTTCCACTGGCTCCTCTTTCTAGGCCAGCTGAGACACTGAAGGTGCATGAGGAGGTCTCATTCCCTTCTGGCCTACCCCCTTGCAGTAGTAGACCAAAGGTGGTACCAGGAAAAGTCAAACCATCTTTATGGCCAAGTGGTTAAACAACTGACCCTTTGTGCCTCACTTGGTTTTTTGGGGTTTTTTGTAGTATTGGGAATTGAACATAGGGATGTAAGGCAGGTACTCTATTGCTGAGCCACGCCCCCAGCCCCTCACTGGGGGATTCTAGGCAGGTGCTCTACCACTGAGCCACACCCCAGCCCCTCACTGGGGGATTCTAGGCAAGGCCTCTACCACTGAGACACTCCCCCAGCCCCTCCAGCCCCTCATTGCGGGAGTCTAGGTGGGAGCTCTACCACTGAGCTCTATTTCCAGCCATTTTTTTCTTTTGAGACATAGGCTCACTAAATTGCTCAGTCTGGTCTTGAACTCACTGGGTAGCCCAGGCAGGGTTTGAACATCTGATCCTCCTAACTCAGCCTCTGAAATAGCTGGGATTACAGGTCCATGCCATCAGGCCCAACTTGTGCCTCATTTTCTGAAGTTACACAAATGATAAGCCCTTTTGAAATGATTCTCATTCATTCATTCACTTATTTAATCTATACTTTCTCCTGCTCTCTTTCCCTCCCTCTTTCTCCCCCTCCATACCCCCCCCCTCCCGCAGTGGCTGATATGGCCAAACTGGCCCAGGAGACCTTGGACTGCCAGACTGAGCTCCTCTGTGGTGGCCTGGGTGGTCCCAACAGAGATCGGGTCCTGCAGCACCTCATCACTGGACATCCCTTGCTCATCCCGCATCCTAGGACCTGGGAGGGAGCAGGGCAGGGGTGGTGAAGGGTAGGATCCAATTCCACACCACAGTTTGGACCTTAACACCAGCTCCAGCTATGATGAGGATTTCAACCATGAGCCGTGCCAAAAGAAAGGCCATAAAGCCCACTGGGCAGTGAGCGCAGGTGGGTCCACCCCACCTTTGACCGTGTGTGCCACTCCCTAGACCTCTTCACCCACTAGTAACCCCTGTTCATATTGCATCACCACTGAAGGTGCCTGCCATGCACTGCGATGTGAACAAGAGCTTGGCCACCCTCTTTCCCATGCAGTACTTAGCAGATAGCCCAGTAGGTATGAGGTCCCTCAAGCTTCTACCAGTTAGAGTTCCCTCGAACAGGCTCAGAGCACAGACTAGGGGGGAAAGGGGCTCGAGGTGCAGCCCAGGCTCTTTAGGCTCCGTAGTTCTGCCTAAATTTCTTCACCTCTCCAGGCCTATTGCCCACCTGGAAATTGAGGGGGTGGGGGAGGGGTGCTAGGTTTCCTCACAGAAGCACTTTGAGAGGTTTCTGTGGCTCATGGTCAGGGGATGGTTCATGGAAAGGAAGGCAGGGCAGCTGTTGGCTCTGCTAGTCACGGAGGAGCCAGGAACAAGAACAGCTTGTTTCTGCTTGACCAGGAAGCAGAGAGCTCCACCCAGAAATGGAAGTTGGACTATAACCCTGCACTTGCAATTCAGCCCCACCCCAGTGACCCACTTCCTCTAATAAGGTCCCACCTGCTGAAGGGTCCCCCAGCTCTCAAAATAGCACCCGAAACGGGATGGTGTACATACAGACAGTAATAGGGGCAGCACTGCCTCCCTGCTCTTCAGGCTGTATGGGCATGTGACACCTATAGAACAGGGTTGACACTGCATGTCTGTCACGAGCACTATCCTTAGCATCCTGCCTGCCTGGGAGAAGGACAGATTTGTGTACATCACCTGCCTGGCCTCTAGAAGTGTGTCTGGCTCTGTGTGTGGGTCTTTCTGGGGCAGTTGGAAATGTTGGGGTCTTCATTTCAATGCTGTCCCCCACCTTCAGTGTGCTGCAAGAGGCCCTGCTGTGTACCCACAGTCCTAACCTTGTGGCAGTAAGGCAGCACCTGGCCTGGAGGGTTATGGGATGCAGGAGCCCTGGCACCTAGCTGTAACCCAGGCAACTTACATCCTCTTCTTGTCCCCCAGGGGTCCTGATAGGTGTGCAGAGTGTACCGATATTTGGCTACACAGAAGACTCTGAGTTGCCAGGCCTTTTCCACCCAGTGCCTGGCACGCCCTGCCAATCACCATCCCTCCCAGAGGAGAGCTCCCCAGGTGCCATCTTCCTTCTCTCCAAGCAGGGCAAGAGTTGGCATTACCAGCTGTGGGACTACAACCAAGTCCGGGATAGCAACCTGCAGCTGACAGACTTCTCTCCTGCCAGGGCCGCTGATGGACGGGTGTACGTGGTACCTGCTGGTGGGGTACAGGCTGGCCTCTGTGGCCAGGTCCTGCTGCTTAGACCACAGGAGTAGAGCCATTAGCTGGGGCTGGGGCACCTGCCTTGAAGTGCCCTCCATCACCATTAGAGTACCTCAGCTTCATCCCCTGTGAGACGTCTACAGTCCAGCCTGTATCTTGAGGGCCTTCGGCCTTCTGCTAGAAATCTCTCACACAGTCACCCCATCTATGGCGTCACAAGCTTGACCACTGTCCAAAGTCTAAATTCATCACTTGCAGGATTAAGCATGCCTTTGGTTAAGGGAGACTTTTTTGGGTTTTTGTTTGTTTGTTTGTTTGTTTTGTTTTTCGAGAAAGGGTTTCTCTGTGTATCTCTAGCTGTTGTGGAACTCTTTGTAGACCAGGCTGGCCTCAAACTCACAGAGATCCACCTGCCTCTGCCTCCCTGAGTGCTAGGATTGAAGGCATGTGCCACCACAGCCCAGCTTCTTCTTCTTTTTTTTTTTTTTTGTTTATTTTTTAAAGCATAATCTCTGCCTGGGGTGGTGGCACCTACTTCTAAACCCAGCACTCAGAAGGTAGAGGACTGGTTCTCAGCCTGTGGATCATGACCCCTTTGGGGATCAATACCCTTCAACAGGGTTGCCTAAGAGCATTGGAAAACACAAATATTTACATTATGATTCATGACAGTAGCAAAATTACAGTTAAAAAGTAGCAACAAAAATAATTTCATAGTTGGGGGTCACCGACCATGAGGAACTGTATTAAAGAATCACAACATTAGGAAAGTTGAGAATCACTGAGGGACAAGGGGAATCTCTGTGAGTTCGGGACCATCCTGGTTTACATAGCAAACTCCAAGCAGCCAGGGCTACATAGTGAGACCCTGTCTCAGAAAATAAAAATAACAACAAAAAGGTCTCACTATGTAGCCTTGATTACCTAGAACTCCCTATGTAGTAGACCAGGCTGGCCTCAACCTCAGAGATCTGCCTGGCTTGGCTTCCTGCATGCTGGGATTAAAGGCGTGTTCCCTCGTGCCTAGAGGAACAGTAACGAGGATGTGCTTAGGAATGTGCTTAGGATAGTAACTCGGATCCCAGCCACGCTCCTCCCACTTGAATGCTCTCTCTTTGGGGACAGCTTTTTTGTTTTTCAGGGCGGTTTCACTGTGTAGCCCTGGCTGGCCTGGAACTCGCTATGTAGACCAGGCTGGCCTCAAACTCACAGAGATCCACTTGCCTCTGCCTCCTGAGTGCTGGGCATGCACCACCACCATCTGGCCCTTTGAGGGCATCTTTTAAGACACTGTCAGTTCACCGAACATCTACAAAAGCCTGGACCTTGTTAATCTGACCCCCATCTCCACGTTTACTCACAGAACAGAAATTAACCCAACTCCCTTCTTGGCTTACCCAGACTATCACTCACCTGCCTGACAGCCATCGTGGCGTTCAGATACCAAGACTGTAGGCACCAACACCAGCCCTGAGCTGGTGAGATGGCTAATGGGCAAAGGTGGTGCCAAGCCTGATGACCCAGGGACCCATGTAGTGGAAGGAGTGATTTCCACAGGTGGTTACCTCACCTCCACTTGGTTGCTGTGCACTCAACACAAATTCAAATAGAATAAAAGTTTTTAAAAGCTTATTTCCCCTAACTTTTCCATCTTGGCTCCAATATCATTTCCTCTTCAGAGTCCCCAGGACCCCTCTCCTTCCACGTGAGGATAAGAGAGGAAGAGGAATATGATGTAGATTTTTGTTAAAGATTTATTTATTATGGATAGTGTTATCCATAGTGTATTGTATTATTTAGTTATTATGGATAATGTTGTACATGGTGCCTGCATGTATGTCTGCAGGCCAGAAGAGGGCACCAGATCTCATTATATATGGGTTTTGAGCCATGTGGTTGCTGGGAATTGAACTCAGGACCTCTAGAAGAGCAGCCAGCGCTCTTCATCTCTGAGCAATCTCTCCAGCCTGTTTGTTTTGAAAGACAGGTCTTGTTATGTTATGCAGTCCAGGTTAGCCTTGCATATGCCACATCGTGCCCAAGGCTGGGATAGTGGTGTAGGCCTATAATCCCAGCATTTGGAAGGTAGAGGCCAGAGAACCAATTCAGGCTCATCATTGCTAAGTGACAAGTTCAAGGCTAGCTTGAACTGTGACTCTTAAATCACATAGGAAGCAGCTGTGTGTGCCTCCTACTTTATCTGTCCTAACAAACCAACTATAAAGAAAGTAATTGGCACCTGGTACACCCACTCAGAAGGGGAGGAACAAGTCTGGGGTGCTACAATGCTCCCAGCAAAAGGTCACACTTTAGGGGAGGCGTATGGTACAGTATGTAGTCACCAGCGAGTGGGGTGCGCAGCAGTCTGAATCCTGACCTGATATTTGGTTGGCACTGGGAGCCCTGTATCTAGCATAGAGCCAGGCCCAGGAGACTAGCAATACCGGCTAGGCATGGTGGCACACACCATCTCAGTACTCTAGAGGCTGAGTCAGGCGGGTCAAGGTGAGTTTGAAGCAAGCCTGGGCTACACTGTGAGTACCAAACAGTTTTGGGCTACAGAACAAGACCCTGTCTCAAAACAACAAAAAATAAAAGAAGCTGGGTGTGGAGGCCCATGCCTGTAATTCCAGCAGTCTGGGGGCCAAATGGGAGGACCTCACATTCCAGACCAACCTGAGCTACAAAATTAGAAAAGGGGCTGGAAAGATGTCTCAGCAATTAAGACTACTTGCTGCTCTCACAGAGGACCCAAGTTTGGATCCCAGAACCCACATTAGACAGCTCCAAACCACCTGTAGCTCCAACTCCTGGGGGCAGGGGGTCTAGTGCCCTTTTCTAGCCTCCTTAGGCTCCTGAACACAAATAGTTAACATATACACACATACAAATACCAATCTTTTTTTCTTTAAAGGTTTGTGTGTGTGTATGTGTGTGTTTTCAAGACAGGGTTTCTCTGTGTATCCCTGGCTGTCCTGGAATTTACTCTGCAGACCAACGAGGCTGGCCTTGAACTCAGAGATTCACCTGCCTCTGCCTCCCGAATGCTATGATTAATGTGCACACTATCACTGCCCGGATAACAAGATAAATCTTGTTTTTTTTTTTTAATCTAAACAAAAAATTAATGGCATTTTGGGGTCTTAAATGAGTGAGCGACCTCCTCAGCCTTCCTCTCCCAAGGTAACCACTACCCCATTATCCCACCCCAGCATGAAGGCCCAAGAATATGAATTTGAGCCCACATACCCAGATGCCAAGAAAATTCCACAGCATTGACTTTGTCCTGTTTATTGGGGTGCCATTGTGGGCGGGAGGCCCAATAAAGTCATTTTGCCTGGATTCACTGACACCACCCCAGCTAACTATCTCGTTTATAAATATATATAAAGTCAGTAGAAAAGGAAGACATGTTGGCCTGGAAGATGTTAGGCCTTAGGGAAGAGGTAGGTTCCTGTCCTCACCAAGCCCATCCGTGTGGGCCAGGAAGCCAAGGTTCTGGAGAGGTGCTGCAGCATAGAGATAGAGTGGCTTCTGCCCTGTTCCAGAGTACTCCAGTCTTTGGTTAGAACCAGGTAGCCCATGGCAAGGGCCTGAAGCCCCACTCACTTGTGCTTCTGGGCAACCTGGCAGTTCATTCTGTGTGTGGGTAGGGACACTTACACGGTGAAGCAAGGCAACTCTAGTTCCCAAGGAGAAACCTCCTCCCCTGCCTCACTGGAGAGCCCCGGGGTCTAGGGCAGAAGGAAGAGGCCCTGAGGCTAGAGCTAGTGCACCAAGAAAGGAAGATGGTTACAGTGCTGGCACAGGCGGACATGGCTGTGGTCTGGCTCTGCAGCAGCCTGAAGAGTTCACAGAGGAACAAGGGATCCTTCCAAGCCTCAGCACGGAGGAGGATGAGCTGTGTTCCCACACTGTAGCATCAGGCCTAGGGCAGCATCAGCAGGTGTCCCACGTCACACCCTCCTCTCAGCACTTGAATGACCTCCAGGTGAGGCTGTCACTGCCCTAGGTGGAAGTAGCTCCTGCAGGTCTTCACAAATATGCCCGATCCTCTGGGGAACAGAAGCTAACTTGTTGAGGCTCTGCGCTCAGAAAGCCAGCTCAGGGAGGGTTCGCGGTTCTAGCCGTGGCCCCTGGTACTCCCCCGGAAGCTTCCTAGCTGATCAGGAAACGCCATTCATGTTCTGCTAATTCTTTCTATGCCTCTACCTGTCTTGTTCCCCACTTGTAAGGGAGTCCAGTGTTTCCAGGTCCCCCAAAGCTCCTGAGACCACGCTGATCTGGTGACACCTTGAAATACCTCATCTTCATCAGCAGCCTCAAGCCCGACAACATCTTAGAGCTCCTCCAGCCAGACACATGCTATCTTGCAAGTGAGCCTAGCAGCAGCAGATGACATCAGCTCTGGGCCAGCCCCTGAAGGAGGTGGATCAAATTGTCCAAACCCCAGAGGTAGCCATCTTCACGGTTGCCCTCGGCCCAGGGCAGCCTGTGACTGAGCGTTTGGTGGTCAGGCAGGGTCACTGTCTTGCCGAAGTCAATCATCCAGACCTTGGCCAGGCCGGTGTGGTCGTGCACAAAGAGAAGGGAGCTGCCCACCACCTGTAATAGTCAGTGAGAGAGAAGAGGTTAGAGGAGCAGGCACCACCAGTCTACTCCCCAATGAGCAGTAAAGCAGACACTCAGGAATCAGGCTGCCCATGTTCAAATCCTGACTCTGCTACTTCTAGGCTGTGTAGCCTTAGGCAAGCATTTTACCCTCTCTGTGGCTCTGCTTCCACAGATGCAAATAGAGAATAACAGTATACTTTACACACACACAAGGCATTTCAAATGGTTCCTAGAACACAACAAATACACAATAAATGTTACAAGTTATCGTGTGTGTGTATTCTGGGATGGCCCAGAGCCTCCAACAAGCTAAGCAGGAGTTCACAGCTAAGTTACATCCCAGCCCATTGCCTCCGTTTTCTAGCTCTCATTTCTTGTTTGTCTGATAGGGTCTTACATAGTCCCAGATGGCCTCCAGCTATCTATACAGCCAAGAATCGCCTGAACTTCAGATCCTCCTGCCTCCACCTCCCCCCTGTGCTGGCATGAACTCCCAGCCCGGCTGCTTCCTCTTCCCGGGTGCTAGAACAGTGTGAACCAGTACTCTGGGCTATTTGCTGTCATCATTTTTTAAGCCACAGCACAAACTCAAATGGTATCAGGGTTGTGACTGGGTCAGAGAACTCAGATCAGACAGAAGAGATGGAAAACTTTCTCCAGAATAGGGCAGTGGCTTCTTAGGCCCAGTGGGCTGTGGCTGATGACGTTAGGCAAGTGGCTTCCTTCCTTTGGCTTTGGTGTCCTGTCTGTAGAATGGGGAAGTTGGTAACACTACCTCCTAGGGTCACATAGCGCCCTGCAACCCACAGGCTCATAAAATGCCTCCCAGTGTCTGCCTTGAAATACCCCTGGTGGTGCTGTGCACACCTCGGTGGGGGCTGTTAGTGGTGCTTGGATTTACTTGTCTTAGATACAGTCACTGCTGAGCAGGTGTGGTGACACACGTCCACAATCCAAGCATTTGTAAGGCAGATGCAGAAGGACAGCCACAAATCTGAGGTTAACCCCGGCTAGGTAGTAAGCTCCAGGCCTGCCAAAGCTCCAGAGTAATAAAAAGTTGTCTCAAAAAAGACACTAAACAGTCATGGTGACACAACACACACCTTTAATTCCAACACTCAGAAGGCAGAGACAAGCACAAATCTACGAGCTCAAGGCCAGCCGAGGCTACAAAGTAGAACTCTACCTCAAAACCAAATGGCCCGGTGAGATGGCTCAAAACAAACCTGATGACCTAAGCTCAAGTCCTGGGCCCGCATGGCAGAAGAGGGAAATGACTCCACAAGAGTACCATGGCACTTACACACCCCATCCGACATTCACATACTCCAAAGTCAACAGAGAGTTATGCTTTTTTGTTTTGTTTTTTGGGACAGGATTTCTCTGTGTAGTGTTGATGCCTGTCCTGGAACTTGCTCTGTAGCCCAGGCTGGCCTCGAACTCACAGATATCCATCTGCCTCTGCCTCCCGACTACTCGGACTAAAGGCATGTGCCTAAAGTTACGCTTTCTCATAAACAAACAAACAAACAGCTGCTGCCTTCCCTTCATCTAATGTAGGTTTCACAAGGCTCCCGCACCTCCATCTGTCTTACAGCAGGTTTCAACACCGCCCTGCTCCCAGGCCTCAAGATTACAGGCCTTAGCCGGGCGGTGGTGGCGCACGCCTTTAATCCCAGCACTCAGGAGGCAGAGGCAGGTGGATCTCTGTGAGTTCGAGGCCAGCCTGGTCTACAAGAGCTAGTTCCAGGACAGGTTCCAAAAAAAACCACAGAGAAACCCTGTCTCGAAAAACCAAAAAAAAAAAAAAAAAAAAAAAAAAAAAAAAAAAATTACAGGCCTTAGTCTTAGCTACTTGGGAAGCTGAGGCAGGAGGACAGAAAATATTCAAGGCCTATAGCCTCGATCAGAGTGAGCTCAAGGGTAACCTGGGCAACGTAAGAACTGTCTCAAAATAAGACCTTAAAGAGGCTAACCTAGTCTACATAATGAGTGTGGGGCTATATTTCAGTTGGTAGCATGTCTGCCCCTAAGCATGGTGACACACATCCACAACCCCACACCCAGGAGGTGGAGGCAGAAGGATCAAGGGCCCAGGTCATCCTCAGCTACACATCAAATTCCAGGCCAGCCGGGGCTATGTAAGCCCATCTCAATAAAATAGTGGAGGGTGCGAGGCTGGAATGTAGCTCAGTGGTAGAGCACTTGCCTGGCAGACATGAGATCCTTGGTTCAAATCCCCAGCACCAAACAGAAAAGAGGCAGCCTCAGGCCTGGATACTGCTGCATAGAGATACTGGCAAGCATCTAGGACTGCTATGTCTTAGGGAAACTAGAAATGCCAATTTCTATGTGAAATTTCATATTTCAGATGGAGGCAAGACACTAGGCCATCAAAACCAAACAGAAGGAGAGAGGCCTCGACTTCCACATAAAGCCTGAAGATAGTAACAGGGACATTTGATCAAAACAAACATGATTATGACAGCTGGCACTCATGATGGTTTACCATGGGCTGGGCTCTAATCTATTAGCCTACTTAACCTTCATCAGTGTCCACATGGCTGCCGCTGTCACTCACACTCCAGGAGCCTCCCGGAGTGGCTGCTTGGGCTTAGGAGGCTAAGAAGAGGCAGAGCTGGGACTGAGACTTATACAGGCAAGACTTTCAGCTAGGGCTTTCTAGAAAAGTCAGAGAAGAGGGGAAAGGGCTGAGGGGCAGAGGAAGAGCCTGGGGGAAAGAAGGAGGTGCCATCACTTCTCTGACTAGCAAACAGCCGCCGAGCATCCAAGCTGCCTGAGAGACACAGGGTGACACCAAGCATAGTGGCAGACAACTACAATCCTAGCGCTTGTGAAGGCTGAGGCAACAGGATTGGGAGTTCTAGGCTGCCCTAGGCAACACAGCAAGTTTGAGGCCAACCTGAGTTATGTGAAAGCCTCAAAACAAAACAGACACCCTCTGGTCTGGCATGATGGCACAGTGGGAAGGATACGTGCTGCCAAGTCTGGTCACCTGAGTTTGCTCTCCAGGACCCACATGCTAGAAGGAGAAAACAGACCATCACGTGTCCTCTGTCCTCCCACAAATAATAAAAACATGGAAAGAGCAGTGCTAAGAGAGAGGCTAGGAGCAGAAAGAAAAGGAAGAACCGCACATCAAGGGAGGCACCTAGAGACACACCATTAAGTCACACACTGCTTCCGCTTCTAAGAACCCCGAGTACAGAACGTGAATGTTGCTTCCCAGTGACTCGCAACCCTCAGCAGTCCTAGGAGAGGGTATCATCACCCCGGCTGTGTCAACATATGAGACTGTCTGCGGGGAAGGCTGGGTGTGGTGCTCTTCCCTGTAATCCCTGCATGTGGGAGGCTAGGACAGGAAGATTGTGACTAGGAGGCCACTCTGGGCTACATGAGACTGTGTCTCAAAAGACCATGCCACTCTCCCAAAGGAAAGAAAGCAAGGACAGGGGATATATGCTCAGCACAGTGATTGAGAAACCCTGGTTTTGACTCCTAGCCCTGGAAATAGAGACTGAGGAGAGACCAAAGTTACATAGAAGAGTCAGCCTCATCCCCAGACCGCCTGGCTTGAATCCATGCTCCCACTCCCTCCCTGCCTGAATTCCCTAAACTGGAGGCCACATACACCTATGGCACCCAGGGCTCGCACCTCGTGGGTCTTGAAGAAGGGAGAGTTCTCCAGAGCCTTGCGGAGGTCCTCCAGTCGCGCCACGTACTTTCTCTGGGTGTGAGAGAGAAGGTGTCTCATTAGCACAGAAATGCAGCAAGCCCTTGGTGAGCCACCTTGAGATGACACTTCACCCTGTCATCCTGGACAGTCAGTCAAGGTGGGATAAAGAGAACCAAGGAAGTGGCAGGAAGAGGGAGTACTGGCGTGAAGCCATTAAGGTAGTGCACACAAGAGTGAGACAGATTAAATGAGTTCCACCAATCCCCATAGCTCCCCCATGAGGTGGAGTCAGTTTCCCCTTCCCCCAGCTGGGCTTCGTCTCTCTCATGATAGGACCTGTTCTTCCCAACAGAATGTGGTCGTGCTGTCTATGCCTAGACACCAGGGGACCTCATACAAAACACCTGCTATCTTAGCTTCCTGTTCCCATGGTGAGAACAGCACAGGCTAGCCTGCTTTATTGAACAGACAGACACTCAAGTCCCGAATAAGACTGTGAACCAAGGTAGACATAAAAGCCATGCTAGCTGGGACCAGCTAGTCTCAGCCAAACCACCAGCTGACGGCAGACTGTGAGCAAGACTGGCCAGGAGCAGGCCAGCCCAACCTAGCCCAGCCCAAAGCAAGGGAACATGACTCAGAAGCAACAATAAATGGTGGCTAGGTCAGGAGAGGAGCATCCCACTCACCAGGAGTCCAAGGTCTCCGTCTACAAAGTCTTCCAGCACCTTCGTCACCTGCTCCAGTGCTTGTGTCTTCTTGAAGTTGCTGTTGCAGGTCCCATCAGCCTTCTGCGAAGCAAGAGGTGAAGTGCTGTCAGGTGTGCTGCTTCACCCCAACGCTGGGCAACCTCAGGTACCCCTAGGGTACCCCACCAGCCAAGATAACCCCTACTCAGGGCAAAGAGTCCACCTGCCTGGCCCAACTCGACCCAGTCCCCTGCCACACTTTTATGTAACCTGTCCTCCCACATCTAACAAAACAGTCACGGCTGAGCTCATCTTGCAAAATAGGCTGTTAGGGGACTGGGAGTTGGCTTCAGCCGCGAAGCAGCAAGAGCCAGTCCATCGACTGAGTCCCGTGTAGCTGAGGCTGACTGAAAAACTCCCAGCGGAGCTCAGGTTAGCCTTGAACTCCTGGTCCTCCTGCTTCCTTCTCCCAAGTGTACTACCTCATTCAGCTTGACAAGACCTACTACGCGCCTCAGCCTCAGAGGCCTCGTGTGTTGGTATCTACTTCTTGACTCTGGGCATGTAGGACCTGGGGCCCACAAGATAAATGAGCAAAAGTTCTTTGCGCTTCAAACTCCTGATCCCTGTTTCAACTTCCCAAGTGCTGGAGTTACAGACATGAGCCACCACACCTGGCCATTTTCGCTTATTGACTATGTGATTAATTATTCAAACAGATGAGGGGTGGAGATCTGAGCCAAGCGTCTCCTTCATACGTGCTAGGCAAGTGCTCTATTACCACGCTATAGCTCCTGTCTTTATTTGGTTAGTATTGTTTGTGTAGTGCTACTGAGAATTGAACCCAGGGCCTCACACAAGCTTAGTCTTCTAACACTGAGCCACACCCCCCAGGCCTCTTTTTTCTCTTTTAGCTTTTCATTTTTTCATTTTCGAGACACAGCTGGTCCTGAAGTTACGCTGTAACTTGGATTGAAGCCATGTGCCCTTCTGCCTTAACCTCTTCATGGGAGGAAGGTGTGAGCTCTGACACCCAGCTTTCCAAGTCTATTTAATTTATGGAATAAAAACTTCAAAGACCCTTCCAGCCACTGCGTTCCAGAATGGAGGGAAGAGGGTCAGGGAAGCCAGAGACACAGAAAAGTCTGGACTTGGGGAAAGAGAAGCTGGTATATGAAGATGTCCCAGTAGATAAAGAAACCTCACTCGCCTCTGCTACACGCAGGGATGGGAAGTGGGGCCTTCCCTATACCGGGCTGTCTGGACTCTGCAGACATGGGGTCTGCTTCCTTCTAGTGTCCCCTGCCACCCATGCTCCGTACGAAGCCAGTCCACTGCTCCAGCCCCAGAACTCTGAGTGTCAAACAAACTGGCTTTCTCCTGGCCCTCACCTTGATGCCTTCTATCCGGAAGCCGAGGGTGGAAGTTGAGCTCAGGGTCTCCCTCCACTGCATATATCGGGGCTTGGTGACTGCACCCTGAGCATGCTCCTCAGGAGTGGGGGCCGCAGGGTCCACTGCCATCATCTTCTCATACATATCTTTCCGGGGCCTGGGCCGCTCTCGTGCCTTCACCAGCTCCTCTTCCAGGTAGGTCCTGAGCACACAGGACGTGACAGAACAAACCATTAGAGACAGCTGGAAGGCTTGCACTTCCTGACCGGGATGGAGGCGCAGGCCTTTGAGCCCAGCACTTAGAGGCAGATGCTAGCCTGTGAGTTCAAGGCCAACCAGAGACACAGTGAGACTATCTCAAAACAACAGAACAAACAAAACCCAATAAACTGCACAAGTTAAAACAACAAAGCACTAAACAACAACAAAGCATATGGAAGAAAACTGGAGAATGGTTTCATGCTATTTAGTAGACAAAGACTCTTCAAACACAAGGCCATTAACGATGGCAAAACAAAACAAAAACAACGTCTGACATTTTGCTTATTGGCTCTTGGCTGGGCTGTCACTTATCTAAAATACTGGGGACCAGGAGCTGAAGAGGTGGCTTAGCAGTTGAGAGCGCTGTGCTCTTTCAGAGGACCTGAGTTCCAGTCCCAGCGCCACAAAGTGGGTCACAAGTGTCTGCAGCTCCAGTCCCAAGGGATCTAACACCCTCTTCTGGGCTCCTTGGGTATAAGGCACACAAATACATGTGCAGGCACAACATCTGCACACATAATTAATAAAAAAATTCCCAGGACCCACATGGCAGTTTACAACTGTCTGTGTGACTCCAAGTCCTGAGGATCTGAAGCCCTCTTCTGGACTCCTTGGGCACAAGGTACACACAATGGTACAGACATAAACCAGGCCCACACATAAAATTTAATAAATAAATAAAAGGAAAATTAAAATAAAAAATACTTGGAACCAAAATTACTTTCTATTTTGAGGTTTTCAGATTTTCGAATTATTGTATAAAGTTTCCAATTTCACAACAAATTTTTTAAATTTTAAAAATCTCAGATTTTTAAAAACATGTACTTTTACTGCAGAGGGAACATGCTTATGTGGCTAAGGGGACAGTTTTCAGGAGCTGGTTGTTTGTACACCACATGGGTCCTGGGGGTAGAACTCAGGCTGGCTGGCTGGGTGGCATGAGTGCTTACCCAGTGAGTTGTCTCATAAGCCTCACCAGAGTTTTTTTATTTAACTTTGAAACAGGGTTTCACTATGTGGCCTTCCTGGTCTGGAACTACTGTTTAGACCAGGCTAGCCTCAAATTCATAGAGATCCAACTGCCTCTGCCTTCTGAGAGCTGGAATTAAAGGCGAGACTTCTTATTTATTTTGTTATTTATCTGTGTGAGTCTGTGTGGCTATACGGACACCATGTGCACGAAGGAGCCCTCGGAAGCCAGCAGCAGGTATTAGAGTCCCCTGGGGCAGGAGGTGCAAGCTGCTGTGCCACCACATGGGTGCTAGGAAGAGCACCAAGTGTCTGGAACCAGTGAGTCATCTCTCCAGCCTGCCCCCGACCGGGAGAGGGTTCGAGGAAAGAATAAAGATTCTTGTTATTAGAATCAATGGTATTAAGAGAGTGAAATGACAAATGCAAGGCCATGGCTTTGGTCCTTGGTTCCAGGGGAAAAAAAGAGAAAATGGGAAATTTAGAAAATATACCTCTCTCTCTCTCTCTCTCTCTCTCTCTCTCTCTCTCTCTCGTGTGTGTGCATTATATGTACGTAAAACAAAGGATTTATATACAGAATATGAAATAAACAAGAGAAAGAATGGGGCTTGGTGGTTGTGGTTTGAAAACAATGGCCCCCAAAGGGAGTGGCCTTGTTGGAAGAAGTGTGTCACTGTGGAGGTGGGCTTTGAGTTCTCATATGCTCAAGCTACTCACAGTGTCATAGTTGACTTTCTATTGCCTTCTGATCAAGATGTAGCCAGCACCATGTCTGCCAGCATGCCACCATGCTTCCTGTCATGATAATGGACTGAACCTATGAAACCATAGTGAGCCACCTCAATTAAATGTTCTCTTTCCTAAGAGTTGTGGTGGTCATGGTGTCTCTTCACAGCAATAGAAACCCTAAGACCATGGTGTAGATTTACAATGTTAACACTTAGGAGGCAGAGGCAGGAGGATTGCCATAAGTTTGAGACTAGCTGAATCTACATACTGAATTCCACACCAGCCATGGCTATACAACAGATCTGGTCTCAAAAACAAAAGTAAAAAACGAACAAGCCCAGGGCTGTGGATGTAGTTCAGTGCTGTAGCTAACAGGGCTTGCCCAGCATGAACAAAGCCCTACATTCAACCCCCAGCACCAACATAAAACAAAAGACAGTATTGACTAAGGAACTACTACAACCAAAGTGAGTCCTTAGCTCTAGGAACTAATAATCAAATAATTTTTTTTTTTTTTTTTTTTTTTTGGTTTTTCGAGACTGGGTTTCTCTGTGGCTTTGGAGCCTGTCCTGGAACTAGCTCTGTAGACCAGGCTGGTCTCGATGCGCCACCATCGCCCAGCCTAATAATCAAATAAGTAAAACTCTGGCTTAGGGGCTGGGAATGTGTCTCAGTTGGCAGGCTACCTGCCTAACTTGCACAAAGCCCTCGGGGTCTCATCGTCAGCATAAACCTCACGGTGTCATACGTCTGCAATCATAGATAACATTTAGGCGGTGAAGCCTGGAGGACCTGACACTCAAGGCTATTCTTGGCTACACAGCCAGGTTGAGTTGAGACCAGCCTGGGTTACAGGAAATACTCTCAAAAAGAAAAAGAAAACAGTAACAAAAAATACACAAATACAATGTAATTCCATTATATATCCAGTAGTTTAAGTTAATGAAACAAGTGATACCAAGATAGAACCAAGAATACCAAGAAGGAACAGCAGGCCGGCACATCTGGAACCCTCATGGCAGGCCTGCACACCTGAAACCCTCACACCTGGAACCCTCATGGCAGGCCTGCACACCTGGAACCCTCACACCTGGACCCCTCACGGCAGGCCTGTACACCTGGAACCCTCACACCTGAAACCCTCACGGCAGGCTTGCACACCTGGAACCCTCATACCTGGAACCGTCATGGCAGGCCAGCACACCTGGAACCTTCATGCACCACTGGCAGGAACACACACTGATATAGGTACTTTGAATTGATTTGGCCCCATTTTCAAAATTATCCACCACCTTCCCTGACCTTGGCCCATCGCTGCCCCAATCCCACCTGCTGCCCATCTTGCAGTCCATGATAGAGGGGCCCTCAAAGTCTGCCAGAAGATCTTCCATCTGATTGAAGGCCTGCCCCTCCCGATGCACCAAGCCATAATAAGCAGGCACAAAAGGCCGCAGGGGGTCTCCCATCAGCTGTTCCAGGCTGCGCTGCTCACACTGACAGAAACGTTTCAGAATCCGACCATCCTCACCGGCCTGGAAGTTCCCTGTGTGAAGCAAGACCAAGAAGAGACTGCGTCAGACCGAGACCTGCCACCCGCTATTTCCCGGTATGTATCAGACCAGCCACTGCCATCTTTCGGACACCCCAGCAATGCTGTCTCTCCCTCCCTTTCTGTTGTGTTTGTTCTGAGACAGACGGCCTTGAACTCAAAGATCCCCGTGCTGGGACTAAAGGCTGGCGTGCCCAGCTCATGTCTGGCTTTAGATGGATTTATTTCTACTCTCCATTGTTTATTCAGGGTCCAATTTACAGCATATGCCATTATTTATTTTGTAATTTTAGAAAATATTTATTTTTACTTTTATATGTATGGATGTGTGAGAGTGTTCAGAGGCCAGAAGGAGGCATCTGATCCCCCAGAGCTGGAGTTACAAGTGACTGCAAGCTGCCCAGCATGGATGCTGGAACCCAACACAGGCCTCTAAGAGCAAGGCATGCTCTTAACCACTGAGCCACCTCATCAGATCCAATTTCGTAATTTAAAAAATGTTTCGTTATTATTCTGTGTGAACCTGTGCATGGTGCCAAGACGATCTTGTGGAGGCGGTTCTCTCCTTCAACATCTACATGGCTTCCAGGGGCTCAACTCAGGTCGGCAGGTTTGCACGGAAAATGCCTATATTCGATGAGCCATCTCACCAGCCCTGTTTTGTAATTCTGAATGAGTGATCTTGTCTTCTGAGGGAACTCTGTGAGATCTAAGTTGACAACATGGCTCTCCACAAGAGACCTGCATTTGATTCTCCAGGGACCAGCCACTTGGGTTTATCTAAATTAATTCATGCTAGACACTGTGACTTGAACCTATAATCCCAGAAATCAGAAGGTTCGGGTGGGAGGATTGACACAAGTCTGAGCCCAGTTCAGGATACACAGTGAATCCAAGGCAAGTGTCAGCTTCACAACAAGACTCTAGGGAAACAAATAAATTTCACAGTGCTGGCATTATCCGGAGCACATACATGGAGAAGGTGGAATTCCAATTTTTTTTTCTTTGACAAAAGGGACAGTTTTGCTTTGCTTTGTTGGTCTTGCTATGTGGCCCAGGCTGGTCTTTATTTTGGCAATCCCCTACCTTAGCCTTCTAAACGTTGGGATTATAAACATGTGCCACACCAGGTGTGGGGGTGCAATCTTTTAATCCCAGCATTTGGGAGGCAGGGGCAGGAGGATCTTTGAGTCCAAGGCCAATCTGGTCTACAGAGTAAATTCTAGGCCAGCTAGGGCAACAGAGTCTCAAAACAAATAGATAAGATAAAATACTGACTAGGCCAACTGTTTCTCCTAGCAGCCCCGTAGAGTGGGGACTGTCACCACGGTGATAGTAAAGACACTGAATCTATACAGAGCAGAGCTTTCCCTAGCCCACACACCCATGCCAAGCTCTGCCTGTCTGCCTACCAATTCCCCCAGTCTCACCAGCATGTCCGGAAAGCTGGACCCAAGGGTAGTGGTGCTTATGGAAGGAGACCATGAAGGGCGAGTATTTCAGAACCGTCTTCAGCTTCTTCCAGGGTTTGCTCTGTAGGGAGGGCGAGCATGAGGTATGGTCAAGGCCAGGGAAGTACTCTCCTGGGGGCTTCATGGGGCTATGGTCCCCAAGCTTATTGGGGCCATCGAACCCCACTTCGTCCAGAGACCATAAGACCAGCTTGTGGGGAAGAGTCTGCCTCTATTACTTTCTTTGTTCTGTCTCTGTCTTTGCAATATCAGGAAAGATAGGGTAGGCTAGGTCTGGTTACTGTAGCAATCACCAAATTCATATACCTTAAAACCTACAGTCACCAAATGTGAAGCCAAGCTTCTAAATAAGGCCAGATATGGAGCAAACCATAGAGGCAGGAGTGGAGGAATAAAGGCCAACCACAGAGAGACACAAGGCAGATGACAGTGGCCAACAGAGGCTGGTCACCAAGGGTTCTGGCTTGTCCTCTTTTTTTTTTTTTAATTTATTTATTGTGTCTATGGTGTTCTACCTGCATGTATTCCTGCACTCCAGAAGAAGGCATCAGATCTCATTACAGATGGTTGTGAGCTACCATGTGGTTGCTGGAAACTGAACTCAGGACCTCTGGAAGAGCTGTCGGTGCTCTTAACCACTGAGTTATTTCTCCAGCCACCCTGCCTTTTTAAATTTATTTATTTTTATTTTATTGGTGTTTTGTCTGTGTGAGGGTGTTGGATCCTGGAGTTACAGACAGTTGTGAGCTGCCCCATGAGTGCTGGGAGTTGAATCTGGATCCTCTGGAAACCACTGTGCCTCTCCAGCTCCCTCTTTGTCCTCTTGAACTGAGGTTATGGACTTGCTGTGCCAGTGAACTGTGACAGGAAGTGCTACTTCCAGGTGGAAGCTGCGAGCCAATTCAGATGCTCCATGTTCAACTCCATACTGGAGGTGAGGAGCTGGGCAAGGGAACAGGCCTCGGCCCCTAAAGGGGGACAGCACAGAGCAGGACCCCCAGCCCACAAAAAAAGGTAAACTTATGCTGTTCTAAATCATTCAGATTTGGTGCAATTTGTTACCATAGTAGATCTTTAAAAAAAAATTCAATCTGATTTATAAAAGTTTTGCCTACATGCACATATGTGAAGCATATGTAGCCTGGGGCCCATGGAGGTGAGAAGGAACCAACTCCCCTGAAACTGGAGTTTATGGATGGCTGTACACCACCATGTCTGGGAACCAAATCCAGGTCCTCTGTATGAGCAGGCGATCTGAACCCACTGTAGAGATGGGCTGGAGAGAAGGTGCAGAGGTTGAGCATGTAGGGTCCTTACAGAGGACCCCAGTTCCCCACACTGGATACCACGGGGCAGCTCGCAACTGCCTGTAACTCCTGCTCCACAGGACTCAACACCCTTTTCTGGCCTCCACAGGCACGAAATTCATGTGCATCCTTCACCCCTACACACGTAAAGACATAATTCCAAAAATAAAATCTCAGCAGGGCATGGCGCACACCTTTAATCCAATCCCAGTCAAACCTCTGTCAGTTCAAGGCCAGCCTGGTCTACACAGCTTCTAGGCCAGAGTGACCCCAGGAGACCTTGCCTCAAAAATAAATAATTTTGTTTTCTGAGACAGTTTCTCTGAGTAGTCCTGGCTGTCCTGGAACTCTCTACGTAGAGCAGGCTGTCCTTGAACCCACAGAGATTCACCCGCCTGCCTGAGTGCTGGTGTCAGGAGACCCTGTTTCAGAATAACAAAAATTAGGGCCAGCTAGATGGCTGGGGGTGGGAGGTGGGGGTAAAAGTGCTTGCTGGCAAACTGAAGACTTTCAGTTCAATCCCCAGAACCCACATAGTGGAAGCAGAGAACCAGAAGCTGCCATTAGACCTAAACAGAACAAATGTAATGAGAAAAATAAAAACTACAGAAGAATAGTAGAGAGAAAAAAAGAGCTGGAAAGAAAAAGAGTTTGGGGTGGAGGGAGAGGCCAGGAGAGGGATGCAACAGAAAACCAGAGAAGGGCTGGGGTGTAGCTCAGCAGAAGTGTGAAGACACAGCACAGGGCTCTGGACTATTCCCATCACTGCTCAAAAGAAACACACAGCAGGACCCAATCTTGCTATTTCACTTCTGATTCAGGCGCGAGTGCGTGGCTTGGGGCGGGGGGGGGGGGGGGGGGCACGCTTAGTGTGAACTGGGAGAGTCCGTAGCCTACAGGGAAAGAAGCCGAGTGCTCACCCTGCGCAGCCGCCAGGGTCAAGGACGTGTTTTCTCCCAGCTCTCCACAGACCCACAGACAGCAAACTGGAGGGAGCCAGGTGTAGGACAGCGTGGGATCCAGGAAGGGAGGAGATGATTAATCAAGGTTCCTGTTTACTAAGCACCTGGAACATTCCAGGCACCATGACAAAGACTCTGTGTGCCATACCCCATTTAATCCTAAAAACAGCCCCAGGAAGACTGTTGTCTGTGTCAAAGGAGAGGAAACCGACTCAGGGGTGAAGCCACTGGCCTAAGTCATCAGGCACAGCGCTGGGTTTCTGGTTCTATCCCCACCCCATTGCCCTGGGGCTCACCCACTGCATTTCAGCTGGATTGAAGCTTATGGGGAGGGAGACTGCTGGGTTACAAGTGTCTCTAGCACCTGGGGTGACACAGCAGGTGTCCCGAAACACAGTGCTTGGAATAAAGGTTACTTGACACTGTCTTTTATTATCATAAGCATGTAGTGTCCTGTTTCCACCCCCCCCCCCCAAGTTCACCAGATGGAGATGACACCCCAGACCTCCTACAAGCTCACCACAAGTGCTCCACTACTGAGCCACACCCCAGTTCCTCACTGGGGGATTCTAGGTAGGGGCTCTACCACTGAACCACACCCCAGCCCCTCACTGGGGATTCTAGGCAGGGGCTCTACCACTGAGTCACACCCCCAGCCCCTTCCCTCACTGGGGGATTCTAGGCAGGGGCTCTACCACTGAGTCACACCCCAGCCCCTCATTGGGGGATTCTAGGCAGGGGCTCTACCACTGAGTCACACCCCAGCCCCTCACTGGGGATTCTAGGCAGGGGCTCTACCACCCAGTCGTACCCCAGACCCTCACTGGGGGATTCTAGACAGGGGCTCTACTGAGCTACACTTCACAGGCCCTTCTCTTTTCAGTGTATCTTAATCAGGAAACAGCTTATCATGGTCTCAGCTCACACGTCCTCTCCTCCAGGAAGCCCTCTCTGATACCCTAAATCTAACCCACTATATACCAGAGACTCCTACAACCCCCTAAGCTGCTCTCATCCAGCCCTGGCCACTCAAGCTGCTAGTATCTCTGGAGAGCATCTGTGTTTTGAGGGAGGCAGTTCCCTGTGAGTTCCAGGTCAATCTGGTCTATGTAGGAGTTCCAGGTCAGCCAGGACTACATGGTGAGACCCTGTCGTAACCCTGAGAGTTGTGAGGATAATGTTTTGGTCTCACATTTGTCTCTGAAGATTAAAAGGGGGCGTGTGTGTCTGTCTTGATTACTAGTATCCCCAGCAGCACAGGACTTCAGAAACAATTAAAATAGAACAGGATGTGGGGGGGGGGGGAAGGTCAGTTAGGATTAGGAGTTCAAGCTACATAGTGGAGTTCAAGGCCAGCCTAAGCTATGGGACCTTGTTTTTAAAAACAAAAGGGGGGGGGGGGACATAGCTGGGACACCAAAGTCAGATGTGACTTCAAAATTAAAGAGAAGGAAGCAGGGGACGACACGTGCAGGCAGGCAAACAGCAGCCACCGGTGGATAGCGTGCACTCCGGCTGAAGGGTGGTGGGACAATTAGGACAGCAGAGGGTGGTTGCCTGAAGACAGGACCCAGCCTTGAGTTCCTGATGGCTTCAGGAAGGTGGAGGAAGGATCTTGATGGAGTGAGGCTACTGAAGGAGCTTCTGGAAAGACGAAGAATTCAAGATAAAGAAGCCTCAGAAAAAAGGCAAGATGACAACAGATGCACGGATCAAAGGGGCTAACATGAAAAGCTTGAAACTCGGCTAGAAATGAGTCCAAAAGTGTGGTTTTGATTTGACTAAGCACAAGATGCCTTTCTGTGTCTCAGTTTCCCCATCTATAAAACAAAGATGGAAAGAATGCTCATCTCATCGGGGACTCAGAGGCACACACAGTAGAGCTGCAGAGGTGGAGGACTTTAAGTTCCAGGCCATCCTAGGCTACACAGTGAGACCCAATGTTAAAACAAATGGGAATAGAAAGAGATGGAGGGAGAGAGAAAGGGAGGGAGGACAGGCAAGGAAGCACTGTGTACAGGCTTGTAATCTCAGATCCTTGAGATGCTGACTGAGGTAAGATGATGGTAAATTCAAGCCTGCCAGGGACGCATACCAAGTTCAAGGCCTGGTAACATGGGAAAATCCTGCTCAAAGTAAACACTGGAAAAGAAGACATAGTTTAGTAGTATAGTGCCTGCCTAGCATCCACAAGGTCCTAGGTTCATTCAGTTCCTCAGGGTCAATAGCACAGAGAGAGAGAGTGGGGGGGGGGGTAGGAAGCGGGGGAGAGAGAGGAAGGAAGAAGAAGAAAAGGAGAGAGGAAGGGAGAAGAGAAGGAGAGAGGGAGAGAGAGAGAGGAAGAGAAGGAGGGGGGAGAAAGAGAAGAAGAAGAGAAGGAGAGAGGGGGAGGGGGGAGAGAAAGGGGAAGAGAGAGAGAGAGAGAGAGAGAGAGAGAGAAACAGAATGGGCCAGTGAGACGGCTCCGCAGATAAATATATGTGTTGCCAAACCAGACAGCCTGAGTTTGATCCCTGGATCCCACGCAGTAAAACGAGAGCAATAACTTCCCCAAGTTGTCCCATGACCTTCATGTGGATGCTGCAGCATGTGCACATCCACACACTAAATAACATAGTACATAAATAAAGGAAACAAAACAGCAAAGTAAAGAAGCATTGGGCATGGTAGAGCACAGTTGTGATCCAAGCACCCAAGAGGCTGAAGAGTATCACCTTAAACTAAAGGCCAGGCAGGGCAGTGGCTACAGTCAGTACAGGTCAGCCTATACTACTTCTGTACTACTTAACAAGACTACTTGATCTAGGCAGGCACTTACTGCTTCCAGAGTAGGGTTTGAAATATATATATATATATATATATATATATATATATATATATATATATACACACACACCCACACTTCAGATTTAGGCTAATCTTTTTTTTTTTTGGGGGGGGGGGGTTAAGACACGGTTTCTCTGTAGCTTTGGAGCCTGACCTGGAACTAGCTCTTGTAGACCAGGGCTGGCCTCGAACTCACAAAGATCCACCTGCCTCTGCCAACCGAGTGCTGGGATTAAAGGCGTGCGCCACCACTGCCAGGCTAGGCTAATCTGCTGACGAGCCACAGCACCAAGCCTAGGGGCTAAATCTTTGTTTGTTTATAGATAGGGTCTCATGACATCATCACTCTGGCTGGCCTGGAATTCACTAGTAGACCAGATCTACCTGTCTCTGCCTGTGGGATTAAAGGCGTGCACCACCACTTGGCTTCTAGGGGGTTAAATCTTAAGTCTGTGACCTCCCTGGATGAGTGATTTCATCTCTTGTGCCTCAATGTCTTCATCTATTAAAAATATATATAAGGGATAACAATAGTATATGTGTCACAGGGCCGCCGCTAGGCGGAATGAACTAGCGGAGCATGCATGCGTGTGACAGTTGCAGCCATCGACGTCGGTGCTCTGAGTCATCCAGTCCCAGCTCAGCTGTGTGGAGATGTCAAGGAGATGAGTGAGTGTAGACACAGGGAAGAGCCGTGGCAGAAAGCCCTGGAGGGTTGGCTCTTCTGTGTGGGTATTAGCACGTCGAGGCAGGTCTGTTTCTCACAGCTGGGGCCACATGTGTGAACACGTCCCTGAGGGAGGTACACTAGCTAAAGGGGGATCAAGGTAGACTCCAAGGGCCCAAGCCCAGTAGGAGGACTCCTCAGACAAGCTGGCAAGCAGCCGGACTCTGAACCCCACCTGGAGCTCTATTCCACACCTGCGTCTGCTCTGCCTCTCCCTCCCTGAACCTGCCCTGCTTGCTCTCGTGATTCATCAGGAGAGAGCCGCACCCAAGCCACCCAAGCCGGGGATGATGGTGGAAGATGTAAATAAGAGTCTGAGGGGGCCCCTTGGGGAGCAGAGAACGACAGGGAGACGAGGTGGGTACCTGGGTAGGCTGAGGAGCCCTGCGCACTTTGCCCTTTGAACATCTAATGAAAAGCCAGGAATAGCCATCCTGTTGCTCGCTCACGCCTGTAATTCCAGCACTTTGGAGGACTGAGGTATCACAAGTTCAAGGCCAGCCTGGGTACAGGGTGGTACCTAGCTAGGCTGAGGATCCCTGAGCATTTTGCCCTTTGACCTTTTTTTTCAAGACTGCAATTTTAATTATGTGTATGTGGGTGTGGACAGGTATATGGGATTACAGGTACCACAGAGGTCAGAGGCTTTGGATCCCCCTATAAACGAAGTTACAGGCAGTTGGGAGCCACCCACAGTGCTGAAAATCGGAGTCTTCTGCAAGAACACTATGCGCTCTTAACCACTGAGCCATCTCTGCAGCCCCTCTTTGAGTAGTTAGTGAAACCTGTCATCCCAGCCTCTGGGAAGCTCAAGGTAGCAAAACTGTCATAAGTTCACGGCTAACCTAGATACATGTTGGACACCTGGATATTCCTTTGAACATCTAATGAAAGCTAGAGGCAGGAGGCTGTGTCAGCTCATGCCTGAAAAGGCTTATTGGGGGGACTGAAGAAATGGATCAAAATACTTATGCTCTTGTAGAGGGCTGGGGTTCGATTCTCAGCACTGACATAGTGGCTCATGACCATCTGTAGCTCCAGTTCCAAGGGATCTAAACCCACCCTGCATGGCCTTCCCAGGCAGCATATGCTTGCACACAGTACACATACATACATGCAGGCAAAACAATCACACATATAGAGTAAGTAAATTTAAACAAAAAGTAAAGAAGAGGCACAGAATGGCCACGAGTTCAAGGCCAGTCTTGCTTCACAGTGAATATAAACAAACGAGTATGGTATGGAGCACATACCTAATTCCCGAAAGGCAGAGGCAGGAAAATCGTAGCAAGTCGGAGTCCAGTCTGCAGGCCAACCTGGTCTACAGAGCAAACTCTATCTAAATGGGGTGGGGCGTGGGGCACAGCGTGGTGGAACTCTAATCCCAGTATTTACCACAGCAGAGACTGGGTCATCAAGAGTTCAAGGTCAGACTCACAGGTACAAAGTTTGAGGCCAGGTTGGGCTATAGGAGAATGTCTAAAGAAGAGAAAAAAGTGCCCGGGCGGTGGTGGTACATGCCTTTAATTTCAGCCCTCTGGAGGCAGAGGCAGGCAGGTCTCTGTTGACTTCAAGGCCAGCCTGGTCTACAGAGCAAGTTTCTGGACAGCAAGGGCTACACAGAGGAAGAAACCCTGTTTGGGAGGAAGAAACCCTGTTTGGGAGGGAAAAAAAAGGACAAAGAGGCCAAGGGTCCAATCAAGCCATCTGAGAATGAGTGTGCATTCCTTCCACCTTATTGGTGTTCTTCGGAGCTGAGTGTGGGACCCCCTCCAGAGGACTCAACAGAAGTCATAGACCCTTCATGTAAAACTGTGTATCCACATAGACACAATGGTACAACGTCAGAGGTTCCTAGGCAAGACAGAGGCGGCCAGTAATCTCCACTGCAGACCACCCCCCAAGAACAAGTAACCAAGGGGGAGAGGGAAAGACAGACAGGAAAGGGGAAAGAGTAGGGGGTTCATAAAACGATTAGCAACTTGGTTGTCAGAAGGAGGTGGTCAATGCATGGAAGAGATAGCTAGAGATGTAATTGGGTTTTTTTGTTTGTTTGTTTTTGTTTTTGTTTTTCGAGAAAGGATTTCTCTGTAGCTTTTTGGTTCCTGTCCTGGAACTAGCTCTGTAGACCAGGCTGGCCTCGAACTCCCAGAGATCCGTCTGCCTCTGCCTCCCGAGTGCTGGGATTAAAGGCATGCGTCACCACCGCCCGGCCTAGAGATATAATTGTTGGCAGCTAAGAGTAACCGGGAAGAACACTTTCTAAGCCAAGGCAGAAAGGATGGGAGGATAAGAGATTTGGGATGGAGCGCATGCTCTGGGATGAATGGGTTCTACTCACTCCAGATCTGTCCTCCGAATCACTGGTACCTCCGCCCCCAGCCACCAAGTCATCCTCAGATTCATCAAAAGAGGAGGCAGAGGAGAAGCCGCCAGTGCCCCCTTCAATCCGGGATGGGGGTCCCACGGGTTGGGCCTCAGGCTCAGGAGTCTCAGGGGTGACGATAAGGCGGGGCACAGGACATGGGGAGCTGCATTCCAGGTGGGAGCACAAGTTAGCCACCAACTCCCCCGGCTCTGGTTCCTCTAATAGATCACCTCCATTGGACTCCCCCAAAACGCTGTCAGTCCAGGGACCATCAATGCCAGATTGAACCCAGGCCCCATCAGTTTCTTGTGTTGAAAAATCATCCCTTCCAGGTTGTTTCCAGGCTGTCTGAGTACTCTGTCGTATAAAGGAGCCATGAGTTTGGGACTCTGTCCAGGAGCCGTCGGGGTCATGTGGTGTACTGGAACCATCTGAGGATGATTCTCTGCAGGGGCCATCAGACCTTGGTTCAGATGAGGGGCAGACTCCGTCTGGGTGAGTTTGGAGTTTGGACGTGCTATGATGCGTCCGGAGGTGATCAACCCAGGGCTTGTCCCTCTCTGGCAGAGTCTGCCACCGCTCGAGTCTTTCCAGTCCGGTCCAGGACTCATCAAACCCTGGTTGGGTACAGAGGCTGCCTCTCTTTGGTTGAGACTGGAGATCGGATCTATGAGGATCAGTTCGAAAGCCATCTGTACAGGAACCGGCCATCTCCATCTCTGCCCAGGGGCTGTTCCTTTCTGGATGCGTCTGGAGGCTGGACCCGTCTAGCTCCTTATGTTGGATGGGTTTCTCCGACTCTGCTCCTAGGCCAGCTGCTTCGCACACCGCGTGTCGGTCTCCACAGGATTCTGCCTGCGGACTGTCCCGACACCGCACAGGCCTGAAGTCGGTCCTCTCCGCCTCAGAGTGCAGGCTGGACCCCTCAGTCCAGGCCTGAGGCCCGCCCCCCACTGGCCGTCCCGTCGGGCCACCCGCTCCGGGCCCAGGTCGCTGCAGTCCCGGTTGTCGCCGCCGCCCGCCCCTCAGCGCCTCCAACCCCATGCGGGCCCCGGCGGGCAATGCGTCGGCCTCCGCCTCGCTCAGGCTCCCCCGGCACGGGCAGCGTCTCATGCCCGCTCCCTCGGCTCGGGCCTCGGCCCGTCCGACCCCACCTTCCCCTTTAAATCCTACGAGGGGTGTGGCTGGGGAGCCCCAACTCGTGGATTCCGGGCCCGCAAAGGCTCCAGGCCGCCCGGATACCAAGGGGTTAACCGATACTCCACCTCCCAGGGAAAGCCCAAAACAACGCCCCCACCGGATGTGACGAACTTGGGGCGGAACCTGGACTGGCACCGCGGGTCTCACTGGGAAAGAACTGTCGTCTGCTTCTGATGCTGGTTGGGGTCTAGATCGCTCATCGGGGGACCCTTTTCCCTGCATCACATCAGCCTTACTCCAACCCAGTGACAAGTTCAGCCATTCACTCATTCAACATTCAGGGACAAGGTGGACTTTTCAAAGACTTAAGAGATTCCCACAGGCGTAAGTTTGAATGTCTCCGCACTCACTTCCCAGCCTTTACATTGAGAGAGTAAGAAGCCTGATGTCTATCTAGGTGGGCACGGTGGTACAAGCCTGTAACCCCAGCCCTTGGGAGATGGATGTAGGAGGTTCAGGAGTTCAAAGTCATCTTTAGCTACATAATGCCAAGCCTAGGCTTCAAGAGACCTTTCTCAGAATACACACACACACACACATGCACGCACGCACGCACACCAGGACTAGGTAGACCCTATCAAGAGACACACACGCACGCACGCACACCAGGACTAGGTAGACCCTATCAAGACACACAAACACATACACACACACGGACACACACACACACACACCAGGAATAAGTAGACCCTGTCAAGACGCACGCACGCACACCAGGACTAGGTAGACCCTATCAACACACACAAACACATACACACCAGGACTAGGTAGACCCTATCAAGACACACACACGATAGGGGAATGTGGTAACACAGCAGGTCCATTCAGCCTGATGGCCAGGTTTGAGTCCAGGACAACATGGCAGAAAGAGATCTGTGCTTCCACCACACAGCATAAAGAAGTGTTCGTTCGTGTTTTAAAGAATTCCAGGGCTGGAGAGATGGCTTCACAGTTAAGAGCACAATTTGCTCCTGTAGAGGATTGGAGTTTGTTTTCCAGTACCCGATATGGGAACTCAAAATCCTCCGTAACTAAAGTGTCAGAGGATTGGATACCCTCTTCTGGCTGCCTCAGATCATGCACAAGGTGCACAGACATACATGTAGGCAAAAACACCCATACACATAAAATAAAAAACCAGGGGGGGGGTGCACATGCTTGTTCCCAGCACTCAGGATGCAGAGGCTGGTGCATCTATGAGTTCAAGGCCAGCCTGGTCTACAGATTGAGTTCCAGGACAGCAGGACTACATAGAGAAACCCTGTCCCCAAAACCAACCAACAAATAAAATAAAAATAAATTTTACTGAGCCTGACATGATAACCCTTTAATCCCTGTACTCGGGAGGCAGAGGCAGACAGATCTCTGAGTCTGTGCCAGTTCCAGGGCAGCCAGAGCTACATATAGAAACCTTTGTCAAAGGATAATAATGATAAATAGGTAAATCTTTTTTTTAAGGAGTTTTGGGGACTGGAGAGATGGCTCAGAGTTTAAGAGCACTGTCTGCTCTTCCAGAGAATCCTAGTTCAATTCCTAGCACCCACATGGCAGCTCACAGCTGTGTGTAACTCCAGTTCCGGAGGATCTGAAACACTCACATAGATATACATACATACATACTTTAAAGTAAACCCTGAGGAAAAAAGGAATTCCAGTGTTTAAATCTGTAACAAAGAACTCTCATGTCTACACCGTGAGTGATGGCACACTCCTATAATCACAGCACTCTGGAGGTAAACAAACACATTCACTAGCTCAGCACCAACCTGGGCTACATAGTGAGAGCCTATCTCAAAAAAGCAGAGGCTGGGGATTTACCTTTGTGGCAGAGCATGTGTACTGGGGCCTTTGATTTTTAAATAAATAAATAAAGGTCTCGTGTCTAGAGGATTTGTGTGCCAGAGCCCAACACTGGATCCCTACCTCTGTCAATCACTTTGCAGTAAGGGACGCCTCGCTACAGGTTGGTTTGTTTTTTAGTTTTCCTTATGTGTATGTGTGTGTCTGTGCAGGTGCATTCAGGTGCCTTTGGAGGCCAAAAGGGGGTGTTGGATCTAGAGTTGGTATCACAGGTGGTTGTAAGCTCAACAGCTGAGCCATCTCCTCAGCCCCCCTCCTTTTAATGCTGGTGATCACACTTGCTCTATCCCTGACATATACCTCCAGCACCATTTTTTTTTCCAGTTTACCAGGGAGGACTTTTGAGATTTCTGCCGTTCGCTAGCCTTTGTCTGTAACCTGTGCCATGAACTCAGGTGTATGAATACGTGACGCAGGGCCACGGTGAGCCATACCCTGTAGGATTATTGTCTGAGGTGATTTTTCAGTCTATCCCCTGTGGTGACATGGCTTGCATCGCCCGAGTCAGACTCTTATCTTTGGAGGAGAACAGGAGGTCCTTTTAGTCTTGAAATTGAGTCACCCATAGTAGGGACATTGCGTCCGGGCCCGAGGCTCCCCGGTGAGTCATCTCATCCTGGGCTAAGAAGTCAGAGATGGGAACCCACCACATACATCATACACATTTGAGAACATGACGTCTGGAGGCGGAAGAGGGCTCTTCTGAGGTCACATAGCAAAGGGTCAGGCACAGGGATCTTTAGTTCCCGTCAAAGAGGGTGAGGCTAGACAGAGCACCCGTGTAGCGTGCTGAGGCACACATCTGCAGTTCTCCCTCTGGTCGGTGGTGGGAAAAATGTCCCAACCAACAGCTGTTTCTATTCCAAACGAGAAGAGTGAGTCAATTTTCTTCCATGCCAAGTCTCCTGACTCAGCACTGGGAATCTTGACTGTGTTCTGGGAAATGTCTGGCCTTCAGAGGGCTCCCTCCCACTGACGGCCATCTCTTGAGTGGGCGGGGAGCAGAGAGTAGGGTGCAGGAGGGAACACAGACACAGTATGCAGCCAAGGGGAGTCATGTTGAAGGCCTGAGCGGAGAAACAGTTTTCCTATGCCAGGCAGTGGATTTAGATGTGCAAGGATGGAGGCTGGATGCCAGGATGTGGGTGTTGGTGCAAACTGGAGAGTCTCCATGTGCAAGGAAAATGTTTGCTTGGACGAATGTGTGGTTATATTGCAGGGGTGTGGCTCAGTGTTGGAGAAGCTTGCTTAGCAGTCACATGCAAAAGGCCCTGCGTTTGTGCATCCACTGGGGGGAAAAATCCAAACACATACGATAGCTTTTGAGCTTGCCAAGAGGAAATGTAGCTGGATGTTGATGGTGCAGACCTGCAATTTCAGCAGGTGGGAAGTGAAGGAGTTCAAGGGTATCCACCTTTGGCTACAAGAGAGAGGGAGGATGTTAAGAGAGAAAAAGTACTGGGGAGCGGAGGAAGGATGTTTTCTCAAAGGCATCCCTCGATGCTTTCAAGAAATACTGTGGGTATATCTGGGGCTCACATGCCTCGCGGCTGACCCAGAAGGCTCACTGAGCCAATGCTTAGGTCCCACCCCCTTGCCACGCCTCCTCGCTCAGAGGGGTGTACTTTGTGCACGTCAACGAGCCGCTATGCTACCATTGGCTAACTGGTCAGAGGGGGCGGGCTTGCAGATGTTCCCGGAAACTCAAGAGGCACGGCGTGTGCTAGACCGGGAGCCTGAGCCTGGTGGACCGGGTGCTTAGCAACGGGGGAGGTGCCCCTTAACGGGGTATTTGGGGGGTACAGGAGGGGAATTGTGGATACTTAGCAGCCAAGGGTAAGGCGCTGCCTAGCAACAAGAGGGCCTCTGAGAAGTAGAGAGTAGTCCTGGAGGATCTGTAGGTGTCTAGCAACGGGGAAGAACCCTAGCAACGGCAAGGCGTATAGTGGTGGTGGTGGGGGGGGTGCTGGGGGCGCTTAGAGAAAACCTGAGTTCTTAGCAACGTGGGGGGTAACTAGAAGAAACTTGGAATTCAATTAACAATGGGGGGGGAGGGCTCAAAGAAGGGGCGAAACAAGGAGGCCCAGTCCTGTAATCCTTATTATCCCTTAGGCAATGTGGTTGGAGCTAGGGGCCGCGCTGCGCGGGACCCGTGGACCGCTGGGCAGAACTGCTCATCTGCCCTGTGGGGCCCTGGGGCCTAGGCCCCACTGGTGGGTAAGATGCTGGGGAAGGGGACCCCAAGGAAAAGAGGCTGAGGGTAAAATGATAGAGAGGCATCCAAAAAGGAGGGCTAGCTCTCCACTCCACTAACATCCACTTCTCTGCAGGGACTATGTAGGGGTTGTCGGGCCCAAAGTGTTCATCAAGACCAGTCTGGAAGAGGCCTAAGTGAGGAGGACATTCGCAGGGCACGAGAAGCCCGGCTCAGGAAGGCACCCCGGCCCCAGGTATCATTGCTTCCACCCCCACCCCACCCCCGTGATCCTCTGGGAAAGCACTGGGTCCTGATGTTGAGGAAGGTGGCGGCAGGCTGGCAGGGCTCATCTGCCACTCTGCCCACCTGCCCTACCTCACACCTTCTCCCCTTTCTCAGCTTAGTGATCGCTCGCGTGAACGCAAGGTACCTGCCTCCCGCATCAGCCGCTTGGCCAGCTTTGGAGGTAGGTGCAGCTTGGGGATCTTCTTGTGACCTAGATCAGAGGCAGCATTCGTAGGGTGAAGCAAGAGAAAGGAGGAATCAGAGACAGGGTGAGGGGGGAGAGACGAGGAAAGAGTGATGGAGTTGGCAAAGACCTGCAGACCCCAGAAAAACAGAAATGTAAACGTTTATGAGAACCTGTCCTGAGGAGATCTTGTACCGTGTGTACTTATTCCTCTATTTATGGAAGAGTTTGGGGGTGGGGGGAATGTGTGACTTGACTTTAGGTCCTTTAGCAGGATTGTTCAAACCTGTATAAAATAAAGGAATGTGTTGCAGCCAATGTATAAGAAAGGAGAGGAGACCAGGATAGCCATCTGTAATTTCAGCTGTTGGGATGTTCAAGTGCTCAAGGTCATCACTGGCTGCACAGTGAGTTTGAGGCCAGCCTGGGTTATGTGAGACCCTGTCTAGAGGAGAGAAAGGTAGAGGAAAGAGGGAAAGGAGGAGCTGGACATAGTAACACAAGCTTTTGTAATCCCTGCTCTTCAGAGGCTGAGGACGGAGGGTTGGAAAGCCAGGCCTGGTGGT